TACCCTGATAAGTAAGTGCTGTAAGTGAGTAAGTACCTGCTCACTTGTGACTCAGCGCCTAGCTTTGGTCTGTTGTTCGGAAGGCGGAGGGAGAGCTCGTAAGACCGCATCCATCGAACCACCCAATTTTTATTAGCGAGAGAAGTCTACCTAGAGTCATTCTAAGGCGCTGACTCTGAGCCTGATGCTATTTTGTTCCTCTGTCGAACTGCTACCCGTGCTTCAACTTCTGCCCTTAACTCTGTTCACGGCGGGAGCCTGAGGTCTCTCTTGTTCTTTCATGTCTGCTATTGCTTTGCCAATACGCAAGAGAAGAGCGACCGTCGCCTTCGTTCCACAACATCGAAGAGGTAAATATAAATTGGACAACTCCTCACGTAACGCCGGCCCGGGCATATAACTTTGCGACCGGCTGTAAGTGTTTGGGAGTTGGAATGAGTAAAACGATCTGGCTGCTGAAAAGATGAGAACAAACGCACCACACTGATGAGCGGCAGAGATCTGTCTCACGCTCCTAGTACTTACAGCTACGACTCAGGATCAAGCTCGTCTTTCAATGTGAGCACTGAAAATGAGGCTTAGGACTAAGTCGACATACCTCCAACAGCTCGCAAACGATTGAGCTCCTGGCTTCCCAGCTTACTCTGCACCAAATTCCGAATCGCCTCGCTGGAAAGCGGAACTGTTTCAAAAAGCGTCTTGCGCTCCCTCAGATTAAAATTCTCACGCGCTTGGTCCATCGCTCTAGAAGCAACGTCGTGACACTTCCGACGCACTTCCTGACTCGAAAAAATAGCGCGAGCCGCGGATGGTATATCTAACCCCCCCTGCCCCTGTGAGTTTGAATTTAAGTTGATTCCGCAAGACCCGAGAACCGGCTCTCAGTCACTGTTCACCAACAACTTCTACTCCAGGGCCGAGTCTTAACATGGGCGCATAAGTACCTACTTACTTAGAAAAGGAGACCACCTGCTAAGGTAGGTAAGTAAGTAGATGACGGCCCTTCCCTCCGACTGGAGTTTCAACGCAAGCAACCCGATGCGCATTCTTTGCCCAAGTGGATAGCTCTGCTGCTTTCGAGTCTTCAACTCGACCGCGAGCGCAGCGATTGTAGGCCGGTTCTGTGTTGTCGATTTCAGTGGAAACGCTAACCCATATGATTGCGACCGGATAAGTACAACTAGCGCCAATCGCATTCGCAGCGCATCTTTGTGCACATCAGTGCACTTATGTAAGTAAGTAGTAAGTCAGGGAGAAGCGTTTGCATAGCATTAGAAAAGGGGGGCGCTAAGGCTAATCCTTCAGATGTAAAACACCTGCAAGCAAATCATTACCAAGCGAGGATCTGCGTCAGGGTTACTCTGCAGACATTCCGTCGCCGCAGGCATGTGCTTGCTTTTCCTTTTGCCTTTATCTTTTCGCGCGCGCGCCTTCTTATCCAATGGCGACCCCTTTCCCTCGCCGCCAAAAGGCGACCCATCTTCATTGTGGCCGAGATCATCTGCACCAGAATAACCAGGCCCGTCGCCAAAGCGGCCACATTCTTCACGCAGTTTGGTTTCAGCTTGCGGCCGTTGTGCACCGCAGGAACCCAACCCGCCTGGGATTCACTTTCGAACTCGTTGAGCTTGGGGCGGGGCCTGCTTTAATGTTGAAGATGTCGTCTGCCGCCCTTTTTGATGAAGATGAACTGCTGCCACTAGTGCTAGTGCTAGTAATGCCCGCAAAAGAAGCTGACGACTTCGCTATCGTGCTGCTACTCGAGCTCGGCTTTCCACTGCTCGGAAAGTTTTGCTTCGATGTTGATGAAGGCCCTGCTGGATTAACTTCAGCACTGCGCGCTGCTTTTGCTCGAGTCTCCGCCGAGTTCTTCTCGTCAGAGAGATTATCTTACGCAAACCTCCAAAGAAGCTCGGCGCTCCTGAAGCAGCGCTAAGCATGTTTGTGTAAGTGAGTGCTTCTCGCTATACGACTACTACTACTACTAACGTAACTTCTTCCAGTCAAACCATTCGGCGCGGCTTCACTGCGCTGCCCTGCAGTGAGATCTTTTTGCAATAAATGGACTGAAGAACTTGCTCTCTGAATGAGTACTCTTCGCGCGTGCGAATTTCACGAAGTCACGAGTAAACTATAACGGGACGGAAGTCGCTGGGAGCACTTTCAAGGCTGGGACCATTTTTCGTTTCGCATTTTTTTCGGGGGTGTTTCTACTGGCTTTCTTTCAGTCATGGCCGACACGACTCTATGCGGGTCTCTCAAAGGTTGCGCGATGAGCTCGACAAGAATACCCCGCGAGGCTCGCCTTTCTCTCTCTCTCTCTAAAGCCAAGCAAGTCTTTTCTTCGACACGAAAGTCCTCGGCTTGTATTCCTCGCGCAGCTGTTTCTCCTAGCAGATGCACGATAACGGCCGAACCTACGCACTCAAAAGATACCCGATAGGCAGAACCTCGCCGCCATAAGCATCTGCTCGGGAGCAGAAGCTAAAGTATGCGGCTCAAGTAGAAACGGGCATAGGCTCGCTTTCATTTAGTCACGCTGTGTCGGTCCTCATTGCGTCTGCCTGTTCTTAGACATTGCACGCAAATCCGTCCCGCTAGTAGTAGTAGGCACTTAAGTAAATGCAACATCTTTCGTTCCTCATCTCACAGCCAGCGGCTTCTTCACCAGCGAACTTTCTTCGGCAGCTGCTGCTGGTCTTCCCTTGTCCAACCTGTGCCAGCAGTAATCCGCTGGACAGCAGCGAAAGCTTGACGACAACCCCTCCGAACACACATGCCCATAGTATTACTCAGATTGAGCCGATCTGGCAAGCCTCTCTTTACTCGCTCTTAACTTAGTAGAAGGCCGTAGCTCTATACATGCGCATACGTGCGTGCACATGCCCGCACACGTACGTACGCGCACGCACGTGCACGCGTATGCTGGCACGCCATCCACGCGCACCCCTCAGCACCATGAGAACTTGAAGCACTCCGTCTAAGTAGCGACTCCAATCATAAATATTTATAATACTCGCTTATTTCAAGTTTACGAGTATTCGCTTTCCGCACCTTTTGCTCCGCGTCTAGAATGTCTGCGTTCTTCTCCTGTATCTTCTGCACTAGACCTGCAATACTGGTTGCCAGCTCTACTTCATTTCCCGGTCGCTCAGGGCTCTTGGTCTCCGCTTCCCCCAGCTCCTGCTCCAGTTGGTCCTCTTCCTCCAGCTGCGTCTTTACCAGCTGCACCAGCTCATTCACGGTTTTTGGTTCTGGGATTAGTTTCGCCAGCCGGCTGCTGGGCTGGCCTTTTTCATCACTGTTAGGCGGTTGCGCTTCCCTTCGTGGCGGGGGCCTTTGTCGACTCTCGTCGGCGACGGCGATTTTGTATTCTTTCACCTGATATAAAAGTGCGTCCTCCCTCAGTGCTGCCCAGTTTTCCCAGTATTTGTGCGCACTTTCCTTGTAGAAATTGACAACCTCCGCGACCCTTATTAACACGTATTGCACATCATCCCGACCGTAAGCGGCTGCGGCGCCAGCCTCTGACTCCGCATCCGTATTTGTGCTACTGGTGTCCACTAGTGTGTTGTATATTCCCTCGTTAGAGGTAGTTTTGACAGGTGCTTATCGTCCTAGCAAAAAAAAAGGAAGTTTATGAAAATCCCGTGGACGTCTAGACGGAGCCTGCTGGACTGAAGCAGCCATGAAAAAGCATCCTTAACTTCCGCAACTTCTGCCGCAGCTTGCGACATCGGATCGATGCTATTTCCGAAGTCGATCGCGTCCGCCGTTGTCCCGTCGGTAGTGTGGGAAGTGCTATTTATTAGCGGTGGACATACACTAATCTGTGCAGACCCCAATGGTGTTTCAATAAAAGTCTTACCGCTGGCAGGATGCTATTTGTACTTTTGCACCACTTGGCGCTCTGTGTTTTACTTGTAACAAATCATAAATAGTACGAAATATTATAATATAATGATCAATGGCCGTAGGGTGTCCCTGAAATAAATCCACTTGCCATTGGTCTCCGTTCTGCTTTTTTCGATTGACCTCTTCACCGTGTTAAAAGGGAGTCTCTGCTGTCCCGATTCGGAAGTGGCGCTGCTAACGCTAAGCACGTCTTTTAGATGTAGCCTCCCATGCTCATCACCCGTGGTTACGTGAAAGGCCCCGGGTGTCTTCCCGTTGAAAATTCCTCTTGACTTCTAAGTAACACTCAAACCCAAGGGAAGAGATATCTCCAAGCAGATGATGAGACACTAGCCATAATTGCTCTCGAAATTTAGACAGCAGCGCGCCAACCTTCCCTTCTGCGACAGTTTGAGGATTCTGCGTGGCTGCCTTCGGAGGTTGAACTGAGCGCCTTTGCCTAGCCAAGACAAAAAGGCGTCCATGCCCAGCAAGCCACGAGGGGAACAAGAGCAGCAAGGCCCCCACTCCCCCTCGCATCATTTTGTACGGGAACGGCTGCAATTTGTGAGCGATGGACAGTAATCCTACGAAAGAGGAGGCGCTTTCTATGAACGGAAACCAGCCCAAGACTGAGCGCTGATCTTTTTCGCAGTTGCACTGCTCAAGTCATCAGCCCACTGCTTAAAAGGTTCAACAACTGCCCAAAACATTTTTTGCACTGCTTAAAAGATTCGGACTCAAATTAGCAGAAACGCTAACGGATACGATAACGGATCAACGGACTCAGACAGCTGCAAAACTAACAAGAACGGCCCTAGGGTCATCTTTTTAGCAGTTCCAACTGATCGCTTTAGCAGTTCCAACGGATCTTTTTAGCAGTCGCAAAAAAGGCTGACCTTTGGCACCTTTTCTTTTAGAAGTCCCGGGCATCTTTTCAGCAGTCTCAGCGGATAGTCGCAACCTTCGAGGAAGCTCCTGCCAGTTCGAAGAAAAAGCATAAGTGTGAGCTCCGGGGAACCCGAGGTGGAAGCGGAACACAGAGAGTCTCATTACTTCTCTCGTCTCAGTGCAGCTCATTCGCTGCACCCTTTGCTAGATGTTTTGTTGGGATAGCTCGGCCTTGAGCCAGCAGCATGATAACACCAGTGCAATGCAAAAAAGGGCTTGTATTGTTCGAGCCGAGACACTGAGCAGCAGGATGCTCTTGTTGCGAGTCAAAACTTACAATGACAATCTCGCTCCTTAGTGCAGGCAACGCAGTGATAGTCATACAACCGAACAATACGACCGAACTGGGCGAACGACTGGCCAACAACTCTTATCAACTGACGAGGGGTTTCTCTACTCACGAAACCAAGTCGCAATTTACTCGAATTAACATAAGAGCAGCGGGCTCTTTCAATCAGATGCAAAGAGGAGAGGGAGAGGACCCACTGGGACCAAGTGAGAGGAAGCCCGCGCATTCTTGTAGATTAGTGGCCCATCTATTCTAGACGCACATCGGTCAGCGCTTGTGGAGGTAAGTAGAAGGATTGCACTAAACTCACGCAATATATTTGCCAGGGCGCAAGGCGACGCCCCCCCCTCCCCCCTAGCGGGGGTGGGGGGCCGGCCGCCCTGGGCCCCTTTTGGAGGCGTCTGCCGGGGGCAGAAGGCCCCAAAAGGAGGCCAAGGGGCTGCCCCCTTCTCGTTTGCATGTACCCTACAGACTTGAGGGGCCCCGATGGTGGTGGGAGGCTGCAAAAGGGGCCCAGGGGATCACCTGCGCCCCCGTCCAGATGCCTGCCTGTGCCCTTAGTGCATCCGTTAAGCTTTGCCGCCGCAACAGTGCGCCGGCAACGGAAGGCCCCCAAAGACGGCAAAAGGCGAGGGGCTGGACCCCCTGAGCCGTGCCGCCTGTACCCGCCGGGCCCTTGGTCATCGGCTTGCTTGCTCTTGCGACCGTGGCCGCCTCCGGGGGCCTTTTACCCCGGAGGCCCCCTCCCGCCTGCGAGGGTCAGCAGAGGCGAGGCGGCCCCTTTGGAACACGCTGGGAGGCCCAGGCGGCGGCCCACGTCAAGTCTTGACGCCTCCCAAAACTAGAACCCGCGAAAAATCCGTGCGGAAAAGCGCGCGGGCGCGCCACCACAGACCAGACCACATTGGGAGGGAGGGGGTCGAGAAAGGGACCCCCTGGGCCTTACGGGATTTCTAGCTATGTAGGCAATTTTGTTTCGCTTCCTTACCATTAAACAGAGGAGGCCCCAGCCTGTGTTAGCTTCGCCTAATTTAGCACGACAGCACAACCGTGACCGCACTGAGGGTAAGCACATCCACCAAAAACGGAGCAGCCTGTAGGAGGAACTTGAGAAGCACGCGATAACGCTAGCACCAGCAGCGTGGCAATGGCTTGAAAGTCAGCAACTTTTGTAAGGCTCAGCTGACTGAGGTCACAACAATAAAGAGCAACGACCCCGCGCACTAGCTTGGCTGCGAGTTTCTTCTCCCCAGTTCTCTTCGCTGGGAACTTTGGCTCGCTTTGGCGGACGAGGGGCAGCAGAGTTCCCCTGGTTGTGAGTCTCAGTCGCAGCCACAACCACAAGAGGGAAACGGAAAATGTTCACAAGACGGCGAGGGGGAAAAGTTCAGCAGAAAACCACAGAGCTCGGCAGAAAATGCGGCAGAAAGTCCAAGGGGAAGGGGTGGGCAAAATGTTCTTGGTGGCAGAAAATACGGCAGAAAGCCCAAGAGGGGGGCGGAGAATGTTCCCGATCGTCAGAAAATGCGGCAGAAAGTCCAAGAGGGGGGCGGAAAGTGTTCCCCGGTGGCAGAAAGTCACGGAGGTGGGTAGAAAATGTCCCCAGGTCGGTGAGCAGAAAACGCGGCAAGGAAGTCACAGAGGGGGGCAGAAAATGTTCCCGGGTGGCAGAAAGTCACAGACGGGGGCGGAAAGTGTTCCCGGGTGGCAGAAGCTGCGACAAATAGTCCAAGAGGGGGGCGGAAAGTGTTCTCGGGTGGCAGAAAATCAACCAGGGGGCGGGGTGCAAAACGTTCCCGCGGAGGCAGTTAATGCGGCAGAAAGTCACAGAGGGGGGCAGAATATGTTCCCAGCTGGCAGAAAACGCGGCAGAAAGTCAACCAAGGAGGCGGAAAATGTTCCCGAGGCGGCAAACCTGGCAGAAAGTCAACCAAGGGGGTGGAAAATGTCCCCCAGACAGCAAACCTGGCGGAAAGTCAACCAAGGGGGTGGAAAATGTTCCCGAGGCGGCAAACCTGGCAGAAAGTCAGGCAAGGGGGTGGAAAATGTTCCCCAGGCCGCAAACCTGGCAGAAAGTCAACTAGGGGGGCGGAAAGTGTTCCCGAGGCGGCAAACCTGGCAGAAGATCACTCGGGGGGTAGAAAATGTCCCCGAGGCAGCAAAACCTGGCAGAAATTCACTCAGGGGGTGGCAAATGTTCCCCAGGCGGCTAGCCTGGCAGAAAATCACTCAGGGGGGTAGAATATGTTCCGGAGGCAGCAAACCTGGCAGGCAGAAAATCCGCGAAGGGGGTGGGAAGTGTTCCCGAGGTAGCAAACCTGGCAGAAAATCAACAGAGGGGGGCGGAAAATGTTCCCGAGGCAGCAAGCCTGGCAGAAAATTACCCAGGGGGGTGGAAAATGTTCCCGAGGCAGCAAACCTGGCAGGAATTCACTCAGGGGGGTAGAAAATGTTCCCCAGGCAGAAAACCTGGCAGAAAATCAACAAAGGGGCGCTGAATGTTCCCGAGGCAGCAAACCTGGCAGAAAATCAATAAAAGGGGTGGAAAATGTTCCCGAGGCAGCAAGCCTGGCAGAAAATCAACAAAGCGGGGTGGAAAATGTTCCCGAGGCAGCAAAGAAACCTGGCAGAAAATCAACAAAATAAAGGGGGGCGGAGAATGTTCCCGAGGCAGCAAACCTGGCAGGAAATCAATAAAGGGAGTGGAAAATGTTCCCGAGGCAGAAAACCTGGCAGAAAATCAACAGAGCGGGGCGGAAAATGTCCCCGAGGCAGAAAACCTGGCAGAAAATCAGCAAAGGGGGTGGAAAATGTTCCCGAGGCAGCAAACCTGGCAGAAAATCAACAAAGGGGGGCGGAAAGTCAAAATGTTCCCGAGGCCGCAAACCTGGCAGAAAATCAACAAAGGGGGGCGAAAAATGTTCCCGAGGCAGCAAACCTGGCAGAAAATCAACAAGGGGTGGAAGCTTTCCCGCCTGGCAGAAATTGAAGGAGAAAAAAGGGACGGGGGTGGAGACTTTCCCCCAGGCAGAAACCGAAGCAGAAAAAAAGGACGACGGTGGAAAGCTTCCCGGCTGGCAGAAATTGAAGCAGAAAAAAGGGACGGGGGTGGCCACTTTGTTTCCCCCGGGCAGAAATTGAAGCAGAAAAAGGGGACGAGGGTGGAAACTTTCCCCCAGGCAAGAACCGAAGCAGAAAAAGGGGACGAGGGTGGAAACTTTCCCCCGGGCAGAAATTGAAGCAGAGGAACAAGATAGGGACGGGGGTGGAAACTTTCCCCCAGGCAGAAACTGAAGCAGAAAAGGGGGATGAGGGTGGAAACTTTCCCCCGGGCAGAAATTGAAGCAGAAAAAAGGGACGGGGTGGAAACTTTCCCCCGGGCAGAAATTGAAGCAGAGAAAAGGGATGGAGGTGGAAGCTTTCCCCCAGGCAGAAACTGAAGCAGAAAAAGGGGACGAGGGTGGAAACCTTCCCCCAGGCAGAAACTGAAGCAGAAAAAGGGGAGGGGGGTGGAAACTTCCCCCGGGCAGAAATTGAAGCAGAAAGACTTTCCCTCAGGCAGAAACTGAAGCAGAAAAAGGGGACGAGGGTGGAAACTCTCCCCCGGGCAGAAATTGAAGCAGAAAAGGGACAAGGGTGGCAACTTCCTCCCGGGCAGAAATTGGAGCAGAAGAGAGGGAGAGGGGGGGAAACATTCCCAGAGGCAGAAACTGAAGCAGAAAAAGGGGACGAGGGTGGAAACCTTCCCACGGGCAGAAATTGAAGCAGAGAAAGGGGACGGGGGTGGAAACTTTCCCGCCGGGCAGAAATTGAAGCAGAAAAGGGACAGGGGTGGAAACTTTCCCCCGGGCAGAAATTGAAGCAGACAAAAGGGACCAGGGTGGAAACTTTCCCCGGGCAGAAATTGAAGCAGAAAAAAGGGACGAGGGTGGAGACTTTTCCCCAGGCAGAAACTGAAGCAGAAAAAGGGGACGAAGGTGGAAACTTTCCCACGGGCAGAAATTGAAGCAGAAAAAAGGGACGGGGGTGGAAACTTTTCCCCGGGCAGAAATTGAAGCAGAAAAAAGGGACGGGGGTGGCAGCTTTCTGCCAGGCAGAAACTGAAGCAGAAAAAGGGGACGAGGGTGGAAACCTTCCCCCAGGCAGAAACTGAAGCAGAAAAAAGGGACGAGGGCGGAAGCCTTCCCGCCTGGCAGAAAGTGAAGCAGAAAAAAGGGACGGGGGTGGAAACTTTCCCCCGGGCAGAAATTGAAGCAGAAAAAAGGGACGGGGGTGGAAACTTTCCCCCGGGCAGAAATTGAAGCAGAAAAAAGGGACGGCGGTGGAAACTTTCCCCCAGGCAGAAACTGGAGCAGAAGAATAAAAGCGACGGGGGTGGAAACTTTCCCCCGGGCAGAAACTGAAGCAGAAAAAAGGGACGGAGGTGGAAACTTTCCCCCCGGCAGAAATTGAAGCAGAAAAAAGAGCCAGGGGCGGAAACTTGCCAACAAGCAGAAACTGAAGCAGAAAAGGGACCGGGGCAGAAAAAGGGGACAAGGGTGGAAACCTTCCCCCAGGCAGAAACCGAAGCAGGAAAAAGGATAGGTGGTGGCAACTTTCTGCCAGGCAGAAACTGAGGCAGAAAAGAAACGCGGGTGGGAACTTTCTCCCAGGCAGAAACTGTCCGAAGCAGAAAAAAGGGAGGGGGGTGGAAACTCTCCCCCAGGCAGAAACTGAAGCAGAAAAAAGCGACGAGGGTGGAAACCTTCCCACGGGCAGAAACTGAAGCAGAAAAGGGACGGGGGTGGAAACTTTCCCCCAGGCAGAAACTGAAGCAGAAAAGGGACGGGGTGGAAACTTTCCCCCGGGCAGAAATTGAAGCAGAAAAAAGGGGACGGGGGTGGAGACTTTCCGCCAGGCAGAAACTGAAGCAGAAAAAAGGGACGAGGGTGGAGACTTTTCCCCGGGCAGAAATTGAAGCAGGAAAAGAGGACGAGGGTGGAGACTTTCCCCCGGGCAGAAATTGGAGCAGAGGAACGGGAAAGGGACGGGGTGGAGACTCTCTCCCGGGCAGAAATTGAAGCAGAAAAAGGGGAAGAGGGTGGAAACTTTCCCCCGGGCAGAAATTGGAGCAGAAAAAAGGGACGGGGGTGGAAACTTTTCCCCGGGTAGAAAGTGAAGCAGAAAAAAGGGACGGGGTGGAAACTTTCCCCCAGGCAGAAACTGAAGCAGAAAAAGGGGAAGGGGGTGGAGACTTTTCCCCAGGCAGAAAGCGAAGCAGAAAAAAGGGACGGGGTGGGAACCACCGGAACCCCTTCCGACACCCTGGCAGTCTACCTCAGAAAATTGCTGGGGCTCAGTGCCCGCAAGTCCCAGCACTAGAACACTCATTACGCGGACCCCCATTGTCCAAGGCATACGCCCGAGCCAGTGGCGTCCCCCAAGCGCCGTGGCTCCAATCACCCGCGCCGCGACCTGTCTCACGGTCAGCGGCCCCCACAAACGGGCAAGTAAAGTCTGCAGCGTCTGGGCATAGAATAGAAAGGGCAAAGATAGGACTCAGCCGACACTGACACGCTACCGCGTTTTGGGCCTCTGCGACATGTCGCGTAGCCTCAGGCAGCCTATGTATGCGCCAGATGGCTTGTCTATTTACACACCTCAAAGCGACGAGCAACCTCCAAAGTCAGAGCTTGGTGTAGCAGTTTGGCGCCAGTGCTTCTCTCCACCAGCTGGAGGGGATGCCATCTTCCCAGTCATCTACTAGCATTCTGGCTAGCGGCGCGAATTCTCTCCGTAAGAAGGCGTCAGCTTGTAGCATGCCTGCGCCAGTCTCTCACCGCACAACAGTGTCGCGCTTCTGTTTGAGACCACACACATCAACACGCTTGATCAGATCTCTGGCCGTCATCTTAAACTTAGCCGCAGCATACAGGTGGACGATATTATCAGTCGCAAAGCCGAGAGACAGACTACGCCTGGCCCAATCCAAAGCCCTGCCGCAATGTAAGTCGCGAGGGCTTCCAAGATCTCAGTCCGGGGCCCCAGCCCTAGGAGTTGTCTCTTCAGTTCAGCCTTATGCAAATCCGTCATAAATCCCCGGCGCCCGCCATCGGGCACTATAATAAAGCCACCAATACAAGGAGCGGCGTTCTCACCCCCATCCGTAGATGCGTCAGTCCAGCAGAGTGAGGCCTGTAGCAAGGCAATACGTCCCAGCCCGTAGGCCATCGCCGGCAGGCGGGGTATTATTGCTCTCACAGTCTCAGAGTGGCGCCCCAATGCCCGGCGTTCAGGTTTTTTCCGTATGAAGCAGCTAGAAACCGCCTCACCGAGCCACTTCTAGAGCGGCCCCAGTGCCTCAGTGCCCATTTTTTGGCGGACGTGTTGTGTCGCAAAGGTGCGCCGCCCTATCCCCTTTTGGATTAGCTTGCGCGGTAGCTTTTTCACCTGCAAGGCTTTCAAGATGGCCCCCAGTGCCTCAGTCGTCTTGTCAGTGTATTCCCGTGGTAAGGTGACCCATAGGGTGGCGCGCCCAGTCAGCGCCGCCCTCTCATAGCTATACACTAGGCCCAGCGCCCGGACACAGTCAGTCACAGCCGGGGACTGGCGTGGTCTGCCTTCGGCTTATCAGATAGCCCCAAGCCTAGCGCCCGCGCTAGTTGATGCGCGAACCGTCTCGCCACACCGACACGCGCCCTGTCTACACCAGAGTAGTTTTGGTCGTCGATGTATGCCAAGAGTGGTAGGCCAAAATGGGCCGCCACAGCCGTCAGAATTTCCGCGGTTCTGCAGAATGCTGGCACGACAGAGGGCGCAGCGCCCATGTCCAATGTGTAGGAGATCTAGTAGCGGAACCCATCCACACGCGGGCCATATCCCGCGAATGGGGACGAGGTGGGGCCGTCTACTCCGAATAGGTAGTAGGCGTCCGAGATATCATCGGGCGCCATCTCAGGTGGCTCCCTGACTTCCTCCACAGGAGACCCATCAGGGTGCCGCTTGGGTTTGGCATTTGTCAGTCTCACTTTCTCTGAGAGGCCTGCAGCATAGCATTTGGCAAGACCTGCCCCACAGTCAGCGGCTTCCACAAACGGGCAAGTACAGTCAGCAGCGCCTGGGCGTAGAAAGGGCAAAGACAGGACTCAACCGACCGCGCAGGCGCATGCCACAAGTACAGGCGACCCCCCCCAAAGGCTGTCGCGTGACGCCGCTTAGGGTTCTTCAGGGGCCGCAGTGGTGCACTCTGAGTCTGTTTCAGCAGATTCACGGTCGACTGCGCTGGTTTAGCGAGGCCTTTCCTCCTCTGTTGTTCCAGGGTCTTGCCCTTGGGTTTCATCTTCCGCGTGCCAATTTCCTTCCCGTTTTGGAGTATCTTCCCTGCAGCCAGGAAGTCCGTGCGGGATTTATAATATTCGCGAGGTCTGTTGTTAGTCGTGTTGCCTTTACCCAAAAGCAAAGACTCCACAGCTTCCATGTCTTCCAGGTCGACAGATGGCCTATTCATCTCATGGAGAGCATGGGCTTCCGGCTTATCTTTCGGGAAGGAAATGCGCTTGCTCGACATGTCGCCCAGCTCCAGTGCCCCTGGTGCTGGGAGCATGCGAGACGCCTCAACCCGCGTAAAGTCCACACAATATCCGAAAAATAAAGGTGGCGACCACCGTCCAACCACGTCCAAGCATGTACTTCCCAGAGTCGAAGTGGTCACCCGCCTCAATTCGCGTTCTCGCGTAAATGGCGCCCGCCCTTCTTGGTGGGTGAGATTTGGCTCCTATCAACTGGAGCGATTTCTTCGCCTCAGCTTCCTTCAGTGGGAAGCTAATTCTCTTTGTCTGTGGGTCGCACACACAACATAAGCCACCTCTTTCCTTGCTTCCACAGCAGCAGGAGACGAAGGCCGTCCTATTGGCCGCAGCGGTAGTCTTGTCTCTGGTGATATGTGCCGAAATCTTGCCCCGTGGGCGTGAGGGAGATTCCACATCTTGCGGCATGATAGCCGCCACGCTATTCCAGCGCACTCCCAGACTTACCCAAAATCTGACTACGGCTCTCTCAGGTGCCGGCAGTTTTTCCCATGCCTCACGCGCGACCAGTGGCGCCTTCTCCTTTTCAAGGGGGCCCGCCGCTCTTTTTTTATCATCTGACGCGACTGCCAGGGAGCGGACTGCGCAAGGTGCGTCACCCATCCACATACACTGTCGGCCTGTGTCAGGGTCGAGTGGTGGAACCAGTAGGCTACATGCTATCGCGGTGAAATATGACCGCGCGAGACCCGAACTCTCGCCCATGCCAGCGACCCACAAGCAGAACAGTCGGACGCGTTCCACTTCATACGGTGCCCCAATTGGCGGCGGCTGCTTCCTCCAGTAGTCCCTGAAGACTTCGACGCGGTGCGTCCTGTTTATCAGTGCCCCCTCCGAATGGGACTGAAGCACGACCGTGATCGTTTCACTAGGTAGCGATATACTTTCGCAGCGCTTGGCGATAGTCTCCTTTGCCAGTGGTGGCCTTATCAAGCCGCATCGTAGGCGTAACGGCCATCAGTGGCTGCGCGGTGTTCTGCAGTTCGTGGGAGCTGCTCGAGGTGGGGGGAGGGGCCGGCTCCTCGGCGTCCCCCATTAACGGCCCGGCAGCCGCAGCCTTCATTTTTTTCATACGTTTTGGAGCATGGCTTTCGTGGTGGAGCCATGCTCCTGTCAGTGGCAGGTGTGCCATCTCTCTTCGTCGCTCTTTCCTTCAGGGCGAGATATCAAGTGACGCAAGGGGCCTTCCACCCGTCTTCACATTATCTATCCGCCACAGTTTCCCCTCATGGGTTTGCCGTATGTGCGCCGTTGAACACATGCGCGCCAGCTCTTTGCCCAGTATCATATTCTTCGTTTCTCATTTCGTCACTGTTTCCCGTGAGGCGGGCCATGCAGTGCCCCATCCGTATTCTACTTGAATAATGCCCCATGAGCGAAGGCCTTTCAGACCAAGGCACAGGCAGTCTCCTTTTCCTGGGCGTGTCAAGCGTCCGAGGATTTGAGTGGGTACTCAGTTTTTCTTGTGGGGGTTATTCATATCGTGCAATCTTGTCGCAGTTGCCTCAGGCATCACGCGGCTTCTTCATGTAAGAGAGTTCGTTTATTACTGTCTTCGCCCCATCTCCGTTGTCGTCCTGTATAAATCGCTGCGCTACTTTCTCAGCTCGTCAATCATGTTACTCCCCCTATCTTTCGTCGTAGGTGATTTTTTATTTTTCCACTTCCCGCAGTTTTTTCACGTTCAAATATCGCGAAGCTGTTGAGCTGTGCCAGTCTCATGCCTCGTCCGCCAAGCCAGCAAGCCTGCGAGGCTCGCCGTGGTTGACGGCTTGCCGTCGTGTTTCAAGGTGCAGCTCTTATCCTTGCGCTTTCCATAGACATGCCACGCCGGGCAGGCCGTACGTGGGAAGACAAGCCGTCCGCTGTTAAGTACTTGCTTCATGGCTGACATTTCAGCGCGCCCACCTTTAGCGATTACCCAGCCATCCTCACTGATGAAGCATTTCCTTCCTAGCTTACGCCCCGCGATGGAGCAAGTAGTGTCAGGGTCTGACTTCTTCAGGTCTGGTTCAACAAAAGCAAACTTCTCACGCAAGTCACAACTACGCTCGTCTTTCTCAAACAACAGAAAACCTTCACGATTCATCTCAGCACTGATCTCCCTCTTCAATGGTCGCGAGTTGTTTCCATCACCTTCCACTACCGTCACGCAGTCGAGCGGCTCCTCCTCTTCATCATTCTTATCTTCTCGCATGTTGTCGTGGGTTTCTTCTGCCACTGCCTCCTGCCGTTTCGGTTCCTCCACAGCAGTCAGCTTTCCTTTTTTCATCTCGTTACTCATTCCAGACTATAGCCGTGACCCCTCTACTAAGCACGTCCTTCCCATTAGGGTAGCGGTGTTAGCAGAGTGTGTCTCATAGTATCACGGTTCCGCGCGCCTTTCTCCTTTCCTTTCTCATTTGACTTGTCTTGTCCTTTCGCCGCTTCCTCTCCTGTGCCTTTCTGGCACGCTCGGCGTATGTCTCCTCTCGTTGCTTACGGAGAGTCTCCTCAGGTAGTCCACCATTTTTATCGGTGTATCCTCGTAGAACCCGCCACGTTTCTTCTCGCTCCATTTGCGCCAGGCGCCCTTGTCGCTGTCCCCTTCCCATTTGTAGCGGGTGTCGTTTACCACGGCGGCCTTGTTGTGGTCCGGCGTCAGGCCGCGTTGCTTCAGGTCGTGCGTTCCTGTTTGGTATTGGTATGCGTGCTTCCACCAATTTCCCTCATCAAAGTCAAGGCCCACACCCTGCGGAAGCATGTTCATTGCAGAGCGGAACACGAAGACGCGTCCTCTATCAACACTCGTTTCCGTGCGATAGCCATGCACTAAGTCAGGGGAGGGGTCGTTACCTTTTCCCTTGTTGTTCTTTGCAGCCTTTCCCGCTCCTCTCTTCGCGCCTTGTCCAGAGGTCGGCGCCGAAGAGGAGGATCCAGCGCACATGGCTCCTCCTCCGCCGTAGTATTCATCGTCACAGCCAAACACAAAAGCGCCTTCAGCGCCCAAATTTCCCAAGCGGTTTGGGGCCGCGGGCTCACCCGCGTCGTCGCCCTGTGTTTTGGGTGTGAGTTTTTCACTTTTTCAGTGCAGCACGTCAGAACGGCTGCGCGCCATGTGTCCTGTTTCATTCCATCCCATGCCAAATCATTCAAGCGAGGCACATGCCACAGCGCCGCCTTTTTTCCAAAGAGCGCCTTGCGTGTGGTGTAGCAATGTTCGCGCGATATGCGTGGCCCATCTTGCATAGATAAGCCAGCACGCAGCAACCTGAGCGCTGGGCGTCGCCTCTCATCTTGGCACATAGGCGCATGGGTAGGATGTGGCTCACCATGTCCCCCTTCGGGTACGCGTTGGCCGCGACGTATTGGTAGTCGCCTGTCATTTGCGTGGCGGTTGGCAGGTCCACGCCACTGCCTCGCCCGTGTACAGCAGGAATTTCCCAACCACGCCCCTGCTCGTTTCGTACGCGAATGCCGCGCGCCGGTTTATTTTTGTACTCAGTGCGCCCCCGCAGTTTTTCCCATTGCGTGGCGTTCAGTTTCAAGAGTTGCTGAATTTCCTTTCATTTTTCATTTTTCAGCCAGCTCGTCAGTATGTTTTTCAGTTTGTTTTAGTTCTCAACACGATAGGAAGCGCGTCCTTCCCCGGTCAGCTTGCTCAATCGTGATGGGCTCGCCCATACAACGGGGCGCCAGCTTCCAGATCACTGGGATGCCCCATCCTTGCAAGAGGTGCTGCGGAAGTTCAAGGCGGGCCTTCGTCTTCGCCGCCGAGAGCAGTGCAGTCGCAAAGCGCTGCAAGTCGTGACTCAGTGGGCCTCGCAGTGCCTTCACCAGCGTCATGCCCTTCAAATCCTTGATGAACTCCTGTCCAGAGGAGTAGCGCAAGAAGCGACTACGCTCGCAGCTAATTCCATTCACCATGCAAAAAAGCGCCAGCACTTTCGCCGTCTGGCGATGTGCCTCCGACTGCGAGGCCAAGAAGTGGCAGAGGGTGCTGCTTTTTGTTTCAAATTTTCAGTACGAGGAGGCATCAGCCACCTTCACCTTCGTCACTTCTGTTGCGCTTTCAGTCCATCCTATTCCTATTCCTAATCCTAAGCAAGGTCTACAGGTCATAGCGCTGCTGTGGGAGCCAGACCCACGGCGCGACGCGCGCGAAGTCATCAATCGTCTCCCAGTCGTTTGCTGGTGCAGAAAGGCCACGCGCCATAGTGGCCCGCTTGTGAGTGCTGACCATCTGACCTGGGGCGCTTTCCGTGTTTCCATCGAGGCCCACCCAACGCAGCGCATAGCTGCGGCTGGCGTGTTTCCCTTCGTCGTTGTTCAGCAGGGCGATGTCAGTGTCGGTCCACTTGTTGCCTTCAAGCCTGTCAGCTTTTTGCTTTTCATGTAGTTCCATGCACGTTTAGGCTTTACCTTTATTTCTCATTTTTTCTCGTTCCATCATCAGGCGGGGTTCTCATGATAGGTCGCCCGTGCCATTCTCGTCTCTATGCCATAGCACCCGTAGGCTCGCTCCCAGCCTGTCACGTTTGGCCAGTTCGCATTCTCAGGTGGCTTAGAATTCGGCTCACGTGAGCAAATCGCGGGGCTTACAATACAACCACGTCACCCAGCCGGTCATTCGTGCGCAGGCCTAGACTTGCGTCCTCAGCTGCCTGCACCCAGTGGCAGTTGGGGGCGGGTGGCCTCGTATTGGAGGGCGCTGCTCTCGCTCCGATACAGCGCTCAAGCTTCCCTCCTTCAGGATTAGCTTGGGCTTCTTCGTCAAGGTCTCCACGACCTGATCTATCAGGGTCTGCTGATCCTGGACAGGGCGCTTCAGCGCAGGCGCGCTTCCAGTAGTCGTAAAAGAGGCCATAGCGCGACCGGCCGTCGAGCCGGCTGGTGCACTCGCCGCCATGCTTCTTTCGACCTACAATCTTTTTATTGTGTCGTGGGTGGGGTGACTCATATTTCTACTGAGCGCCATGTTTGTCAAGTTTCTCAGAGAACAGCACGTCTACCGTCAGAGTGTCGCTTTAGTCGCGTTGCCTGCCCTCCGAGCTCCATGGCATCTTCTCCGATCGAAGCTCTTTGTTGGGGAGATACGAGTCTCGCCAAGACCAGAGGCTGACGGAGTTTCACCCCCCGCCAAATCCTCTTCCGCGGCGTTCATGCCCGTGCTAGAGGATGAAGAAGCAGCCGCCACGTTGCGTTTTCCTGATTAGTTATTCAGCGGGATTTCAAGGCTCGCCAGTGCCCCACTTTGCCACGCGTGGGTCGCATTCCCATAGAGAAGTCCCTCCGTCTGGAATTCCACCGGGATGCTGATTGCGTCGGCCGCGTTTACTAGGCGGGTGCACTTGTCAGCTTTTGCCCCGCTCCCTCTGGTTCCAGCCCCAGTCGGCCATGAGCTTGCTTCGCATTTGATGTGTCCAGACCTTACACAGCCCCGCATCACCAGCAGTCTTGTGGAGATGTGCGGCTACAGTCCACGTCTTCGCGAAGGGTCTCAGTACCTCCATGCGTGGGCGCACATTTCCGCCCACGATCAAGGTGCGGAATTTCAGGCAAGCGCCACTCCTCAAGCGAGATGGCGGCTTTTCCCCTCAGTGAGTTTCTCAGGATCACGCGCACGCAGCGCCATCAGATGTCGGCCCGCGCTGGACATGTCGCTCGGCTCAGGGAAGTCAGTGTGCTCCCGTAAGCGCTCGAAGATGTTGCAGTAGGTCGCCAATTCCTTTTCGTTTCTAGCTTTTACCTGTGCGCTCCCCATACACTTATAAGGTGACTCTTACGCTTCGCTTTTACTTTTTTCGTTTCTCAAAACGTCGCGCAGAGTTTTTTCAAGAATCTCAATCGGGTAACTCTTCTCAAGTAGTCAAACGCGGCGCGCAAGCGCCAGCTTTCTAGCAATTTTTACGAGAACTCAGCGAGTCCCAAACCCTGTCGGAAAGTTTGAAAGCAGTAAATCAGTGACACGACTGCGCCACGTGTGACGCAAGACCAGCCACCTCGTAGAACTCAAGCGAAGGGACTCCCAAAAGGCTAGCGAAAACGCACGCGATTGCCGCGCCTACTTATCCTTTGACCTTTTTTGGCTTCGCCACGTCGCGAACACGTCGACGGGTGGGATCGCGCTCACGCTCCCACGCAGATCATTTGCCCCAGCTTCGCTCTTCATTTCGAGGCGATTTCGCAACACTTCAAAGGCCTCCCAAGCCGATCGACATGCCAAGACTTGCCGAATCAGCAGTCCACTTCATTTACCAAGGAGCGTTTACTACATGCGTATCATTTGCCACGACGCTCAGTCGATTTTTCCATCAAGTGGCATTTTTCGACTAAGTCGCTTTTTCCATCAAGTGGCACCTTCAACGTGCTTTCGATCAGTTTCCATTCCCTGCCATTTCACGTCTGCAGGTCACGCCAGTGGACTCGCGGGTGATCCCCAGCCCTCTCCCACCAAAAGTCTCAACGTTCTCGGTAACGTTTCTGGCAAGAGCGGTGATCGCGTTCACCTTTTACCCTCGTCATTATTTGTCGAATATAAGGACAGCGCGCCCCCATCGGGTGCTAGGACTGAGCCCGCTGGTGGGATGTCTTCACTCACCTCACGTGGGATGTACATTACGCGGGCCACGCCCCGTAGGAGGGGCCGCCTGTGATCGAAGAGAGCCCTAAGGACTCTTTCGATTTTGTGCAGGCGGGCAGCAGCAAAAGGCCCAGGCACCTTGATCACCCCCACCACTTCGCGCGGGATCCTGTTGAGAAGGGAACCATTGCCGTAAAGAAGGCAGCCACAACTGAGATGGCGGCAGATGTCACGACGAAGCCGGCAGCATCTCGAAAGAAGTTGGTGGAGGCCTTGGCGAGTTTCGGCGTGAGGATCTTGTCGTGGGTGTTTGATTCAACAAGGTGACGACGATGCTGCGAGGGTTTGAACTCCCACGCATTTGCACACATTTGGCGCTATGGTATGCGCGTTGCCAATGCTTGCCTTTGGCATTGGCGATCTTCTCGATTCTGGGGGCGTATGCTCTGCAAATTGAGAGTCTTGAGACCAGCCAAGAAATTGCTACTGATTGATCGAGGTCACCAGTCTAGTCCTGGGCCCTAGTCGTCCCTTACTTTGATCCTATTGAAGTGATCCCGTACATCATCCAACAAGCAGCAGCATCGTGCTGATTTCTCCTTTGTTGCAGGTCTCTCCGTGGGTTTGAAAAACTGAAAAGCGCGACACTAGTGGCTATCGCTTTGTTTTGTGTGTTCGTCATGATTCATAAGCGTGCCAGCGCTATCGATCCCTTACCAGATTGGCCAGGACGTCCATGCACCGCGTGGGCCGGTGGTTGGTCTACAAACTGTCAGGCGGCTTGTTGTCTCTTCATTATAGACAACGGCCCCGCAGTCTGCTTTCTTGTCCAGTTTGTTCCACCTTCGTCGCCTGTTGCAGTTCGTATCTCGATCCAATAACTGCGAAAAGCCTGAGACACTGACCGCGCATAGACCTAAACGCCTGCGCATATGGCTCGACCCATCGAAAAACGCCCGAAAAAGGCAGCCTATGCGGAGTAAGCTAAGGCCGGCGCGCTGCTCGAAGCGGCGCAGCGTCCTGCCGTCCACACCAACTGCGCGCAGCCGGCAGCTCTGCGACCGCTGTCCCTTCTTCAATTTTTCTCATCATCTCCCAAGAAGCTCCTAGAACGCTAATGGCATCAGAGGCATCCCTTTGGACATCGTCACCCATCTGGCTACGTCGTTTATGGGCCGCACTGCCCTGCGATGCCGCCTTTTTTAGACCGCAAGGCCCTGGCTATGATCCTTGCAGAGTTGGGCATCTTCATCTTCAAAAAAGCCGCCAAGGTTACACCGAGTGGCCCCGCGTAAGGGAAGCCGTATAGAGCAGAGCGCTGCTGTAGAATTGTTGGCCTACCGAATAGCGCCGCCAGTTGTCTGGTGTGCTCTTTCTGCTCGTTCGACAGACTGCCACCTCCTGGCGTTTTGTGCCACAAGGTTTCACACTTTTCACATGCGCACCGAATGCAAGTAGCCACGGGCACCACCTCCGACACCCGCGCAATTCCTGGAAGTAAAGTCCCTCGTCTTCCTTCATCGAGGTCCAACACCGTAAAGAGCGCCGCGGATACTAGTGCACCGTCAGCGCATATTCATGCGCGTGCCGTGTGCCTTCTACGTTTGTCGCGTTTGTGTTTCAGTCGTTGCGCCGCCTTTTCCTGCGAATGCAGGTTAGGAACTCCAGCGGCTGCCCCATCAAACAGCTCACCAACGTCATGCCACCCGAGGAGTAACGGCCCAACCAGTGGAGGCGCATTGCTGCTAATTTTTCCGCCTCCGCAGTTGCGTCGTCAGCCTTGGTTTGGGTGTTGGTCTCGGGTTTGGCGCCTGCTATGCTGCATCTCGTCGCTTCAGTCAAGTCGCCCGCAGTGTCTAGATACTCCGGGAGCGCAGCTATGCCAGAGCTCATCGAGCTGCCTTGACCCTGTGGCATTCTGCTGCGATTTTCCACGCGATAGCCGACGTGGTTACACTCGAAACCCACGCGTTTGCTACAGCCGTACACGAAGCATCCGACTGAACACACAACAGCACCCGAGCCACGATGCCCAAGGCATCTACTTATATTTATATACAACAACCACCACGCGACCCCGCTTGATAAGCATAGGTGGCCGAGAGGTCATAACTAACACCAAAACGCAAAGCCACTCCGTGAGACGAGGTGGAACATGCCACATCGCCAAGATTGGCCAAGGTCATAGGCAAAAGCGCAGAGAGAGAGAACGAGGGGCAGAACATCTCGGCAGCACAAAAGCAACAAGATTATCGCTTTTGATTATTTAGATGGGCGCTGAACTTCGCTCCGGTGTCTTCCATAGAAATGCGAACGCTGGGCGGGGTACATATTCCACAAAGAACTGCGCCGAAGACTGGAGACACACAGGGGAGAGCGCAGCCGTCCGAGCGTCTGCTCACGAACCCGAGAAAATTTTCTCAAGGTGATTATAGTCGGTTTCACAAGTACGAAGACCGGCAGCTTCCGCCCCTTACTCTTTCTAAAATGTTGGGTAATTCGATGATGCGTCGATAGTGCAGCTGCATAGATATCACATTGACTGAGCTTGATTGGCCGAGTTTGCAGCTATAACCACGCGAAGATAAAAGCTCGGCCCCTTTTGTAATCAATCACGCAGCAGCGAATTCCCCAAAGCGCAGCGGTCTCATACTCTACGCGACTAGGCCCGAGCGGGGTCCGGATACACTCTAACTATGGAAGCCCGAACTGCTACTAAGAACGCCCCCAGCATAACCCTGGCAGCCGTGACAGCTTTCGTTGATCACGGCGCCGCCGCTGTGGTTGTTCAGGTTCTAGCCCCCCCCCCTGTTACTTCTACCAGAGAAAGCACAAGGCGGAAACGGAACCCGCCGAAGCCACTTCAGACAGGAGAGGCCCCCCCCCCGCTCTCCTCACTAGTCACCCGCTTTACACCTCGGGCCAGGTCCCTAGCGCTCCTCCCACGCACTAAGACGTCAGCGCCATCCCCGTTGACTGCCCTGCCCGGTTACGCGCGACGCCTCCTCCGAGCCAGTACGCGCCCCCCTCTTCAGTCTGCTCCATGTCGGAGAGGTTGTGACGCCCTCAGTTCTATCACAGTAGAACTTCGCGCACCCCTCGCCGAATGCCCTCAGGAGGCATCAAGCAGTGTGGCCCGCGCAGGGCTGCTGTGCCTCGCTGTGCACACCCAGCCAGAGGCCCAAGACCCACAAAGCCCCCCAGAGCTTCCAAGACTGTCACTCCTGGCGCGCCACCTAGTTTCACCACAAGAACGGCCCCCAGCCGCATTACTCGCTGCGGCAACGAAGTCGCGCCGTGGACCCAACAAGCGCACGCCCCGCAAAGCGCTAGCGCGCAGCTGCTGTTCCGTCTCAATAGCAGGACGCGCCTACTATGACTGGCACCCGCGCCCGGATGGCTCCCGAGCTCCTTTGACCCCTGTAGAAAGCCAACCCGCAACGCGCTCGCGCTAGGACTAGGTCGGCCCGGCCCTTACTCCTACTCCAAGCAAAGCACGAAGAGCCCCGCCCCATTGGGTGGCCCCTGCCTGCTTTGATGGTTCCGCTGTCTCAGGCACTCCGGGTTGCCTTACCCGAGACACCGTAGAGCCTTCCAAATGGGCTCCGTTTCCTCCACTAGGAGAACGGCCCCAGCGTGTGGCTAGTTGCTTTACTGTGAGTCCGATAGTTACGACATTCCCCTGGCAAGCAATGAATCGTCTTAGCATTTTTTTTCCAACAAGGTCGGTGTCGAGTCATCTCTCACGCAACTAGCTACCCACTTCAGTAGCGGTTGCAAGGCAACGCTCAGCTCTCGAAACATCCTCTGACCGCCAGACAAACTTCTCTATCTCTCAGCCCATAGGTCAATACTTGTTTTCATATCAACATGCTATTTATTTTCCGTCTTTGGTGATGTTATTTTTTTTGTCGAATGCTTTCATATGGAGTCGCAGTGTTCGTTCGACACGAACTGAAGATATAGGCCAAGGATTGCTGCGCGCTCTGGAGGTTGCTTCATGTCCCGGCTCTCCCTCCCCCAGTTCTGCACAAATATTTCTACTGGTGGAATTGGACAAAAAAACGACCTCCTGCGCCTCTAATCAATCATCTACATCTTCATCTTGAGGTTGCTCCGAGTGGTGTAAGGAGTGACTTACATATGAGTCGTCTTCTCGTCTTCAGATCATATGTTTAAAAACATTGCGTCATTGAATCCTATTCACATTCATAAGAGGTCTCATTCCTAAGAGGAGGTGTAATATTCTGGAAGTGGAACTCTACTGTAGGACGCCCACTCTTTCTCCATGACAACAACATGGAACTGGTACAAGTGAAAAAGATCACTGTTGCCATAGTACATCAAGTTGTTAACAACTCCCTGCTCCTCGTCCTCTACACCACGTCATCTTAATAAAAGCCTATCCCCTCTAACTACACTTCATCCCGTACTGCGCTGCAGCACTCCGTCTTAGGGCACCAGCACACATCATCCCCCCCTATCTGCAGCCATTCCATCTTGAATCCCACACAATTATGCCTCGACGTTGAGGACCTGCGTTCTCCTTTCAGAGCATCGAAGCCGTGTTAGAGGTCCCACAGATACAAAGTTGCATAAACTAAGATTAATAGCATCCGCATAACTACGTCTGCCGAAATGATTTGCATTTTTAGATTTAGAGGGGGCCCCGCCTCAGCCCGGTGGGCTCCACCTTGCTGAAGATAAGTGGAGAGGCTGCAAACGCCTAAACTGCTGAGTCAACTGCGAAGGTAAGCCATCGGTTAAGCTTCTTCGTTCCCTTGATCTTGAAGCAAAACAGATGTGGAAATTGCATCACTAACTATATTCAGTCTACTCGATGCTGCGTGGCAATCTCGAACCAATTAATCAAATAACGACACCAGCAAAAATACCAAAACCCTTAAATTCATTATGTAGTCTCGCTCTCGTCGATCATGACCAGTAATACTACTAAAAATATTGTGTCGATGGCCGTGATCAGCAATACAAATAGATACTAGTCCTTACAAACACCATATGATGAGATAGACCGAGACAGACCAAAATTAAGTGATTCTTTTAGCCAATGTACTACTCTAGTTCTGAAATACCCGTTACCGTTTTTAGTCTCGATGACCGGCAATCGTAACTTTCAGTCTCGATGAGCGGCAATTTTTTGGTCCCAATTGATGCCCCTCTTGAAGCTCTTATCGACGCGACTGAAGTAAAACTCCTTCTCCCTCTGGCGTGACTCACGTGGCCAAATCAGCATAAAGTAAGTGCAAAAGAGACCTGGTGGGACACGAGGGAAATAAAAAGAAAGTGTATAAAAGATGATGAGATAAGATCGATGAAGTAAAATTATTGATTTTTATCTATGTTCATCGTAGTACTATAAAGTCAGTACCAGCATATTACCATGGCACGCTCACCTTGAGGTAACGATAGATCTACTCTAAAATAGTTGTACGTTCAAAAGAAGCCTGGGGTTGGTAGTATAATATGAGACCTACGGGATTGGTAGTATAAGAGACCTACGGGATTGGTAGTATAGGAGACCTACGGGCAAGAGAGCCGCACCATACGGAGCTGCAAGTGGGCATGTTTAAGAAGTGCTTCAGAGAGGTTGGTAGTATAAAAATGAAGTCACCATATAAAAGATTGCACGTGCAAAAGAGACCTGGTAGCAGGCGTCGAGGGTTGGTAACATATTCCGGTAGAGGCGGAGCAGGGTAGGATCGGATAGGATAGGAGGGAATGCATCTAGAATCGCAGAGGAGTCCTAGTACTTACGAGGACATAAAGGGAGCAAATCGCTATCTATTGCGCATAGAAACTACGAACGACACCGATCTCCGAACCATCGAGGGAAATTAGCCGCCTAATTTACTTTGTGTGCACTATCACTAGCAATCTATATAAACCTAGCTATAAAACCACCTGGGGGAGTAGAGTTGTTCAACATAGTGAGTTCATAAACCACGTGGGGGACTAAAACCACCTGGGGAACGAGACTTGTTCCTAGTGAGTTCATAAACCACGTGGGGAAACACGAGAGTTGTTAGCAGTGAAAAGTTGTCAGGTTCTTTACACATGGTGCCTCTCTTAGTTATGGCATTTCAGACCCCGCATTGAGGCCAAGAAATGACAAAAAGGAGCGACCAGATGTTTACATACTGCCACTGGACTAGAATCGAGCGTGTATTCGAAGCGGGGACAAGACAACAACATTATCATCTGTACTAGATCTAGAAGTGCAAGTTCGGTTCGGTCATGGATCCTGCACGTCGAGCTCTGGCACTCTGTGCTAGATCTAGAAATGTAAGGCTGACCTTAAAGTCAAAAGGTACACTAGTATCGCAAAAGGTACACTATATAAAGATATCACAGTACACTATATTCACCGCAAAGTACACTATATAAAGATATCGGAAAAGGTACACTAGTGTTCATCCTCGTTCATCGTTAAAGATATCACAGTACCGACAGTCAAAAGCCAAGGCAGGTACATCCAGCGACTGAAGAAGGAAACGTTTTCGTGCTGCGTAATAAGTGGTATCCAGCCAAACCAGCGCATATCCACGTATGGTTTCATAGCTAGGGGGATTAGAACAATTGAAGTACAACAGTACGCATATCCACGTATGGTTTCATAGCTAGGGGGATTAGAGATGAACAATTGAAGTACAACAGTACTAACCCTGTACTTGAAGTGATTGACAGTGAGGAGCTGCCTCTTGTTTACGAGAAGATCTTCTTGAACTGCACCAATTTTAAACATCGACTCAGTTAGGTTCTTAGGTGCGTATGCAGCACATAGCATGACTTCATTTACATCTAGTTTGGTCTATAAGCTCCGAGCTTAGAGACCAATAAACCTTTTGGGTTTTGCGTCATCTCTAAGTCTATGTCCTTTCTGCAGGTGGTTCTTTCTGCAAGGATCAAAGAGCGAACGAAATTTTCAGACATTCTTCAGTCCTCTGCACTATAACTATTTAGTTGTACTACTTACTTGTATGCTGGACAAGTAAGAGAGAACCTTCTTGCTACTCGACATGTATTGATAGCTCCTCCTCTGCAACCTTTGAAGAGATGTTCTTTAACTTTCTTGAACAAGAGAAATTGCAATTCTCAACAAAACCCTAGCCCATCTGGAGGTAACTTATTCTCACTGCCTTCATGCAAGAAAGGGCACCTCACTAGGGTTAAGGTTAAGATTGAAGGTCCGCGGCTCCGCGGCCAGGCCGCGCCGTCCGGGACGAAACAGGCCCCCACAATACTATACCAAACAAAATAGCTAACAAGGGGCTTTCTTTTCAGAGAAGCATAAGAGTAACTCTTACGACCGAGTTACAAGAATCTTGTCGCCGATATGTAAATAAAAATACACACGAGACGCGCAGTCGATACGGTGATAGACACCCCGAGCCCTCGCCGACCCACCCAGCGCCACGCTCCCTGTCCCCACCAACCCACAGGAGGCGCAGGCGCCCTTTCCGCTCACTTTTATTTCCAGAAAAACACAAAGGAAAGCGGCCCGAGCTGTCAGGCGCAGGCACACAACAGACACCCGCCGCACCCTCAGCGCGGTCCGCGCGGCTCCTCGCAACCTCCCTTTTGCCCACAGACGGCGCCGGCCGCCGCCTGCAACCCAGGCAAACACACGACACCCACGACACAACACGAACGAGCTCACCTTGCTTCACAATCAGAACAGCCCGCCACGCCGTGGGTGCATGCTCTATGTACCACCCCAGAGCTCAGACGGGGCTCCCGTCAACCTGCTTTTTGAAAAAGGATACAGAAAAAGGCGACGCGTGTGTGGGAGGGTGTGTCTTCTGGCTCCCTGGCTGCGGGCTAGGCTGCGGCCCGCCCTTTGACTGGCAGCGCCGTCTGTGGCCCCTCACTGTCTCAGCCGTGTGCATACGTGGGCGTGTTTGGTTGGCGCTACAGAGTCCCCCGCCGCATCCAGATCGACCGAAAAGACCCGCAACAACCACACACCCACCCCCACGCCAGGCGACTACTGCCACCCACCGGTCTGCGACGAATGCGCCACAGCCAACCCTTTGCCAGAGCGCTGCGCAGCACGGCATGCACCGGCGCGGGGCTGCTTCCCTTCGAGGATTCGCGGAAAACCACAAGGAAACCCAACCAAACCGCAGGCGCGTCGGGTGCTTCGTTGCCTCCGTGCCTGTTCTCTGTTGTGTTGGGTGCATAGAGTACCCAGCCCCGGGCAGACTGCTTGCACACACTGACACCACCCCAGCACGCAGCCTCGCCCCCCCGCTCGCACCACTTCGCAGCGGCTTGCCCATGCAGCCGTCTCAGAGTGGAAGGCGCCAAGCCGCTGCATGTGTCATGCCTCTGCCTAGGTAGGTGCCCCTTCCGCTGTGGCGCTCCCATTCCTCTCATTCTTTGCAAAAGAAACCGAACCAAAAAGGGCAGGGGGGGCAAGCCCGTCCAGCCGCGGTCTGCTGCGTGCCATACAGGTGACGATGGTGATGATGTAAGCCCACCGATCGGCTGGGGCGGGATGCCATCTCATCCCTGCCGCCGTTTTACCTACTTAAGAGGGTTGCCCTCTTTAAGATAAGGGGCCGCCCCTACTCGACCCCGCAGAGAGAGGCCAGACCAGCGCCCGCCACCTCTCCGGGGGACCCCAAGGAGGCGAGGGGAGCCCGTTCCGCTTGCTCCTACCCTCCTGCACTGCCTCCCCCTTCATCAGCGTGCCACACGGGTGCCGGCGTGCGCCTTCTAGTAAGCATGACATCACACAGCGCGCGCAGCCTTTGAGGTGGTCCCTGAGGTCTCCCCCGTCGGCAATGGCGCCCTACCGCACTGGCAGGCGCACCAAGGTCTGTGGAGGTACGCAACCCAAGCCCACTGTCTGTAGCAGACATGCAGAACCAGAGGCACGAAACTGGCGCCAGCTTCCTCTCTTTGCGTGTCGACTACAGTTCCCCGAGATGTGGAAATATGTTGTAACAGATCCGTAACAGATACGGCCAAGCGCAAAGCAAAAACGAGCACCCAAGCACTTGGAGTGCCGCCGTGCCTGCTTCGCGTTCAGATTCGCACCCAAAAGTGCCCAGTCTGTTATATATCTGCTGCGTATCCGTTACATTTTTTTGCATCTCAGGAGACTGTAGTCGACATGCAGAGGCAAGAACCTGAGGCCAGGTTCCTGCTTCTGCGTGTCTGCTACAGACAGGAGACTGACGGGACGGCGCACTCCTGCGAACCACCATCACGCAGAGGCACCTAACGTCCCAGCGAATTAGCAAGCCGCTGCCGCAGCTGCATGCCACGAGGAAACCCCAAACACCACACCAGAAAGACCAAGCCCAAGCCACGCCCTGGGTGGGCCAAGCTAGCTGCCTGTCCCCTGGATGAGCATCAAGCTGACAAAGCAAACAAAGAACCGACCAGCCACACGACCTCGGCTTTCTTGTCATACTTCTCGAAAGAGACCCGAAAAGACACGACGCAAGCCGCCAAGCGCAGACACTCTTCAAAGCGCTGGCACCGCTTCAAGCGCAGACCCGAGCAACCCCCGCGCCCAAGAGAAGTTGGTGCACAGCAGCCGAAGGCGAGCAAGCCCCTCGAACACGACGAACCCTGCCTCCCCATACCTGACCAAGGAAGCGGCCAGCGCACCAAAATGAAACTGCAGCGCGCCTGCATGGAACGAAAGAAGTACAAGCGAGCAAGGAAAACCGAAGACGACCAAGGGACGCGCTGTCCGCTCTTTCCTGCAGCTGTCACCCGAAAACGATCCGAAAAGCGGCCGCCGCAAAGACCTGGCGAAGACTGACGACGAGCCACAACACAAGCAACACCACGAACAACGCAGCCCACCACACAGCGGCCACGCCTGCAGAAAAACTCCCAAGCACTGCGCACGCCAGCGGGCGAACCCGGTAGACCGATGCCGAACCCACCAAGCAGCATCAACAGCAGCACCCACGACCAACCAAGACGAGCGACTGCAACAAAGTAGTAGAGAGCCAGAAGACGAGGCCCACGCGGCTGGCTGCCCTTTCCGTTCGCTTTCCCCAAAAAATGGCAGAAAAGCGGGCCCACGTGAGTGGGAAGTGGACTGCTCCACCCACTCAGACAGGACAAGGACAAAGCGGCGGAAAATCCCAGACGCTCGCGGCGGAGGAAAGGCGGCCCCGCCAACAGCCAAAGCCCTGGCAAAGCCCTCACGCTAGAAGCCGCGGAGCCGTGTCGACTGACAGAGCCCACGCCACCAGCGGCGGCCGCTTTTCATGCGAATTTTGCAAAAGCCGACCGCTTCGCTTCGTCATCCTCCCGATGCATGCACCGCGCCAATGCTCTACCGCGAGGACATGCCCCACCAACGCCCCACCACGGTGGGCCACGCTCGACGCTTTGACAAGGCGAAAGCGCCAGCGTTGTTTTTCCAAAATCTCCGGAGAAGCAGACCGTATCAGTTACATGCCCCCACATATCGGTAAGCGTATTCCTACGTGAACTCTATTGCAAATTCTACACCCTACAAGATCCTCAAATTATAACATTTAACTTTCCTGAACAAGAGAAATTGTCTTAACAAGATCCTAGCCCATCTGGAGGTAACGTCACCGCCTGCTCGTCCGTAAAAAGCAGCAACGTTTTCGCTACTGTAACGCGCACCGTGATACGTGCTTTAGGTTAGAACAGCAAGAGGACTTACAACAGTATAACGAAATCAATATAATACCGATGATGATAGAAGCTGGAATTGTAGAACTTTCACAAGAGATCCCAATAGACCCTTTCCACCATCAACACTGGGCTGCTTGTAGAAGAAAGGAAGCAGGGATGAAAAACATTTAAACATGCCAGATATAAGACCAGCTGGATAAGATGGAAGTCACCCACGCCATAATTGAATCGCATACTCGCGAGTCGCATCGCAGTAATCAGAGCGCTTTTCTTAGAAGTCAGCAGGATTCTCTGTAATATCCTACTTCAGATGGTGTCAATGGCGATTGTATTACTAAAAATCAGAATGAAGAGGAGAGACGGCGCTCTCCATGCGATGCAGAAAGGCGGCGCTCTTTTTTATGGGATAATAATCATTGCCGCCCACGCGCCCCCGGCGTGTACACACGCCGGGGCAAGGCGGTAAGGCCTTGCAAATTCTACCAGCTACACTTCAGACTTACAACGGCATACCGGCGTGCTACGCATGACGTGAAGACAAACGAGACGCGAATCGAGTAAAGGAGTTACGTGCTTCACGCATTTCCGTGATACATTTATACTGGCAGCACCTTAGTAAGCTACGCTTAGCAAGCGAATCACGCTTAGCAAGAACGCTACGCCGAGCACAAGCGCAGCGCGCAAGCTATGCCTAGCAAGCAAGTTATCACTCGCAGGCAAGCTATGCCTGGCGAGCAAGCTGAGCGTGGCAGGCAAGCTATGGATGACTAGCAAGCAAGCGATGCCGATCATGGACGCCGCTCAGCTCAGCAGCCACGCTATGCGTAGCACGTAGGCCATGCGTAGCCAGCGAGTTACGCTCAGCCAGCAACCAAGCTGCGCTAGCTTAGGCTAGACAGCAAGCTACAACACACCTAGCAAGGAGGCTACGCCTACCAAGCAAGCTACGCCTACTACCAAGCGAACTATGCTCAGCAGGCAAGTTGAGCCCAGCACGCAAGCAAGCCATGCCAAGCGGGCAAGCTTTGCTTAGCGATAAACCTATGCTTAGCAAGCGAGCTAAGAGAAGTTAACGCGCAGCCTATGCGTAACAGGCAAGCTAAGCTGAGCACGAAGGCTATGCTTAGCAGGCGCGCTATGCTCAGCAAGCCAGCTACGTGTAGCCAGCCAGCTACGCTTAACAAGCCAGCTACGCTTACCAAGCCGACTACGCTTAGAAAGCCAGCTACGCTTAGCAAGCCAGCTACGCCTAGCAAGCCAGCTAAGCTTAGCAACCCGGCGGCGCTCAGCAGGCACGCTATGAATGCCCAGCAAGGCAGCGACGCCCAGCGAGTCAGCTCTGCCCAGTAAGGCAGCTACTCTGAGCAAGAAAGCTACACTTAGCAGGCCAGCTCTCTATGTCTATGCTTAGCGAGCAAGCTATGGATGCTGAGCAAGCAAGACACTCTCAGCAAGCGAGCTACGCGTACCAGGCAAGCTATGCCTAGCAAACAAGCTACAGGCAAGCCATGCCCAGCGAGAGAGCTATACTCGGCCAGCAAGCTACGCCCAGCAAGCAAGCTACTGTTAGCAAGTACGGCCCAGAAATGTAGGCTACGACCATCACGATCCTTATCAGGGGCAAGATCATGCAAAAGATGCACGGGAAATCAATGAATCTTTACGAAAAAAGACGGATACGCCTCGGAGTACATCTCTCCCATGATTTGCATACACCTTAGAAAACAAGAGAGAAAAAAAGCTCCACGAATCACCCCGGTGCGGGTACATCACTAGAGTGCACCTTTTCCATGATTTCCGTGCAGAATATATATCGTCGAAGATACGCCCGAGGCGTATACGTCTACCCCTTACACCTCCCCCATGATTTCTGTACACCCCAAGCCATAAGTCTACGCTTTTTTAACCCTTAAAATTGAAATTCGTTTTTGTTTACTTTTACTTATTTAATATAGATAATAACACCAGTATTGCGTCTTAGCTGGTCATTAAGGAAAGATCGCGTTTAGTCATGATGTGAAGATGAGAAAAGATCCAGCCTATAATGACAACGCTGTGTGTTGATCTTGATGTCCTCGTGATGATAGATGATACTACCTCGACGACATCAACCACAGGACTATCACTATGCTATTTTGCTCTCTATTTCATCTATGTCTCAATCTTCAGGCGTCATATACAACCAGAAAGTGTTAGGATCTCTATTTCAAGCGTGAAAAAAGCCATAATCTTCGGGAGTCATGTACCAGAAAGGATCGCGTTTACCCTCTTTTTCCAACTGTGCTCGCCACTCTTGTAAGGTAGGCTGGTCGTGGGACTTAGAGGACAGCTTGGTGGTATCATCAATTCTTTTTGGAACTGTCGACGAAGATGCACGAGACAATGAATTCTAATTTTTCTACTACTGAACAACCAGTGTGGCAGGCTTTGAAGCGGAGAACTACTCAGTGCTTGAACATGGCCTAAATTTACAACACCTAGACCTATCAAATTGAAATCCGCTTACCAGTCTGATACACAAATATCTACTTCTGTTTGTTCATAACCAAAATAGCCACACTGTGAGGCGCTACGTGGGCGTCCAGCATTTGATACGTCTCAGCACGATTGTCGGGATGCCCGCGATCGAAAAGGTATGAAAGCAGGGTGATACATACCGATAGAATGACCTTGATCTTGATCTTAATCGTCAACGCGGCTTATGATATCAAACGTACTAATCTATGTGAGGAGCAGTAGCAGTTGTACATGGTGCTGTGCAGCACTGTAGAGAAAGAAAATCATACCTTCCTTAACGTGAAGTGTCACACATGACACATACTACTCTAATTTCATAGATAGAAGTCCAGGAAGTATCACCAAATTATAGTAATCGGATTCAACATTGACTTGATGTGCTCTCACAACAAATTAAGCATGAAACTTCTCACCATATTGAGCACTAAGTGCATTTCTTGCTATAAAATATCTTCTACCTGCTATAAATATCTTCTTCTAGTATATTGAGTACTAACTGCATTTGTGAAAGATAAAGAATCTTCTTGTAAAATAATATGGAACTACTTCGTTCTCACCATAAATATCAAGTAGCCGGCGTTGAGTTCTACTTATTATAAACGACTGCTAGAACATACATGAATAGGAAACCTCTGCTCGCCATAAGTAGCTGTTGTAGAAAACCGGCACAGGCGAGTCGGGCAGATAGCGGCCACAATTAGACATGCAGGTTGTGTTTCGCGTCTGTCCTCCGATGGGAAGTGCTCGCATAGCTTGTCTCCGCAGACCTTGCGTCCGCAACACTGCGGGATTCAGGGCACGCGCTAACATGATGGTGTCAGCGCGTGTTTGAGAGATGGAGTAAAAACTTCTAGTACACTAGGATGGACTACTTGCTAACTGATTCTGGTTCTCAAGCTTGATCCTAAACAACTTGTTTCGGTGGAGTAGTACAGCATTTCATCGGAAATAAAAGTAAAAACTCTCAAGAATCTAGTATTCATCTCTCGCAGTGTAACTCCCTCTCCCACGACTTGGACTCTAGAAATATCGTCCAAATATAGATCACGTTTCTTCATCGCTCTCTCTCATTCTTGTCCTCGACTGGACGGAGCCTTCTACTCGGTACTACATCTGTGGTCGTCGTCGTCGTGCAGCTCTTGTTCTCCAACACTTCTTTTTGTCCTCCTCGAAATCCAACTCAACCTGGCAAAAAAAACAAAAAAACACAACCTAACACAACGCAAGGGAACACAATTTTTAGCGTGACAATTTCCCTTACTGTAGTTGTGTTCTTATCCTCTGTTGTTTCTTACACCACTCTCCCAATCAGAGTTCTGTCTGTATTGGTTCGCATCGAAAAAAAAGACTTATGAAAGCTGAAGAGTGCTGGTAACTACAAAGATTCATTTTCATTTATTGCGTGGTTTAGTTTATTTTCCCATAAAAAAGTTGCAACTGCGATAAGAATTCATCCTAATTTGTGGCGTTTGATCTTACTCAAAAAGCCGACGCCTAGAAAGGAATTCGCAAAAAGGAGTTATTTACTGGTACTAGTAGTCTTAGTCTATCAGGAGGAGTCATCATGTATTGCAGTTACATGGAACTGGAAGCGATCTAGTTCTAGTCGATGGAAATCGTGGACGCGGCACTTAATTTGTAAGACAGCGTAGCTTTTTTACAATCGACATCAGTGGTCTTATCTTTTTTCCTTTCTTGTAAGACATCTACTACTACTACATCGAGCTTTCTCCTCATCTTCTCTTTTATCGAGCAAGAATTGAAATTCATTACAGCAAATTCAAATTAATTCCTCTCTCGCTCCTTCTCCATTGCGATCTTTGCCTGTACCGTTTCCCAGTCGTGCGGCACTTCCGCGGCATATTGCTTGAATTTCTCGCTTCCCTCCACGTGCCGCATCTGCTTCAAGTGCCTTGCGCGGTAGGCGAGGACCTAAGGTAGGGAGGATGAGGTATTAGTGTGCAACTGGCACGCGCCTTGGAGAATGACAAGAAGAAGAACAAACATGAGACACTTCTTGTATAGTTGGTTCAAGCTCCCTCTACCAGTACTAGAGACACAACTAATTTATTCTAGCAATTACCAAATCCACCTATAATTACCGTATCCACATGCGTTTTGTTTTGGACCGCCAAATCCAAAGCTTGCTCCCATCTGTGCAGCCGTATGCACATCTTGATAGCCCTGAATATTCTTCGGTGTGATAGCAACGTTGAAAGTGCCTCATCAGGCTTCTTGCAAAAGAGCGCGAGCTGGGGTTAGAAGAAGCACAAAGGTAAAGCAAGAAGTAAAGCAAACGGGAACCAGAGGATAGAAAATTTATGCTTATACTTTAACTTTAAGATCATTCTTGTGTAGATGCGAACAAAGCATGTAAGAAAGTAGACAGTTTCTAAAAATATCAAGACTTCCTCTGTCTTCGTGTCAGTCTGAGCAGGAGAGATATAAATACGATGTCCACCTTGATACAACATCAACATTGGATTTGGATTTGGAGATTTCAGAAAAATGTTTTCTTTTTTTTTTGTATCCTGGGGCTACTGAAAGAGCGGCCTCAGCTTTATCCAGTTCGCAAACCGGCGGCAGGCGGAGCTTGGTGCTCCTCTATCATTCTATTCTCTACGAACCCGCCTGTTTTCTGGCCACCAAAAGGGGCACAGTACCACGTTTCGCAATCAACAGTAGAGAGGAGGGAGTCAGCATGTAAGCAACTACTCAAATCTTGTATTCCATAATCAGCCGTCTTCAGCACTTCGTCCGGCAAGTTGTTGATGTAGGCCACATACTGCACTTTGTCTATCTCGTTTATGGCGGCTAGTGCTATTTCCACGGTGTTCAATTCTCGAGCCTGTATTCCCTGGCAGGCTAAGCAAGCCCAACACTCACTCTGTTTCACGAACCTGTGGAAGGTTTAGTTTCAAGATCCATTCATTTAGACAAAGAAATGGGTTGGAATGATCGAAATCCTCATCCACCTATCGCAAGTCCAACGCAATTAAGTAAAAGAACCAGCCAAGTGGAACGCAATTAGTAATAAGATGAACCTAGGACTTTCTAAGATCAGTATTTCGGTGGAGTAAGAGTGTAGAAAGGACATCAGTCTAGTCTCTGAGAGAGTAGGCGGTGGGCGATGTCTTCAAATGTTCCTGTTGTAAGTGGTGACTTTGACGCAATTAATGAGTAAAAGAACCTGCAGAGCCGTATCGCCAAGTCCAACGCAATGAATATGTAAAAGAACCTGCAGAGCCGTATCGCCAAGTCCCACGCACCTCGTTCGATATGGTGGTAGAGCAGTAGCGGGTAAGGCGATAGCATGGCCGCTACGTTGCTGCCGTCCGCCTTCCGTATCAACACGTGGGGACCGTGGAAGGAGACCAATTGTGCAAAATTCCCCGCGTCGCATGGCTTGGTAGCCACCGTCAGCGGCAGCAAGGTATTGTCGACAAAGACAACCGAAGGATAGAGGAAACACGAAAGAGTTTGGTCGACCTGGCGGAGGTGGAGGCGGAGAAGATGAGAGGAGTTCTAGGTGGGCTAACAGAGAAAGTGACATCAGGTTGTAGTTCGTTGTTGGAAATTCAGATCAGCTAGTTGTTAGGAAAAGATATTATAGGTATAATTAGCAAGTTGCACTGTGGTAGTAGGTGAGTGGTGATGGTGGTGGTGGTGGTGGTGGTCGTAGTAGGTGAGTGGTGGTGGTGGTGGTGGATGCTCATACTTATAACTTCTTAGTACCAACGCCACTAGCATATCCGTTGCGTCGTTCCACAGGAAGTCGTCTACCATACTCCCCAGCTTCTCCAAATGTGGTTTGTGAGCCGGGAAGAGGTAGAGGTCCTTGTTTTTGTCTAATATTGCCACAAACCGTTTGCCCTCTCCACTGTGTTGACTGAGTGCGACGTGCGTGATTTCCTGCTTATGGTCCACAGACATCACTTGCTTTCCCGTATGAAGGTCGAATAAACGCACACTATTCTTCTCCACGACAGCCACCATATCCGAAGTGAGCGAGACGGTTTTTGGAATGAAAGGGTAAGGCAGTTGAGGAGGTATATTGCCGTATCACGACAGCTGCGTACTACAAGAAAAAGAGTGGAGGAGGAGGAGGAGAGATACAAACGAGCTGAAAGGCTTCATTCACAACTGCATCTTTATATATATTATGAAAATATCACGACTAACAAACTTCCAAAAATGTCCTCCATGCATTAAGGACTACGACAATGCAACATCCAAATTTAGTCCATTCACTCCCTCAGCCATACTCTCCGTGAAAAATTCCACACGCATGCCTTGATACCGTAGCCTCTGCAGTGATCTGGCTTCATAGGACAAAACGTGGAGTCCCTGAGAATCTGCTAAGGCGAAGACGCCAACGGACTGCAGAATCAGCGTAGGAGCTTCCTTTAAGTCTTCGACTTGTGGCGTTGTGGGAAATGAAGGAAGGGAGGGACAAGGAAGAAAGCGGTCGTATGTGCACTAGCTTATACGTATGACTGACAGGTGAGTGACAGTGAGTGACAGTGAGTGACAGTGACTTCTCAAGTCCAACTTGGCTGCCCCCGTTTGCTACGCTTCGTATATCAACGAACAATGATCTCTGATTATATCAGTATATCTGAATCACCATCGAAATCTAGAGGACCGACGACCATATAATTATTATTCTGTATTTCATCCAACACCACGCCAATGATCCAGACCCACAACATTACAAACATCATACAGATACACTGTCCACCTTCGCCATAAATTCAAAATCCCTTTCGTGATGGCGTATATAAAAACCTGGTAATTCGTGACCACCACTAGATGATCATGCGCCACCGAAAACTCGATAACCCGGTCCCTGAAATCCAATTCTTCGATCGTTTCATGCAGCAAGTCGCGGACAAGGAGCTTAGAGAGAGAGTGGCTCAGAGAGTGGAGTGGGGATAGAAACTAGAAACTAGACAGGGACACTAGAAGCTAGAAACTAGAAACTATCAGTAGGGATAGAAACTAGAAAGACTTCGAAAAGAAAGATTTCGAAACTAGAAAGATTTCGAAAAGAAAGATTTCGAAAAGCCACAGGGCCAGCCACAGGGGAGGTGCCGTGCGTCCCTGAAATCCAATTCTTCTCCGAGGTGAACTTTCAGAGACTCTAGCATGAGGACGAAGACTACCAGCCTTAACAAGCGTGTTTAAGCTGCTATCCAGCGCTACGTCCAGGCTCTGCCAGCTCATACTGCGGTCCACTAGATTGCCGAATACTAGGGAGCCGTTACCTGGTTCGTTGGAGATTCCTTTAATGTGTCCGTCTTGCTCTTTGTCGAGCACAAAAAACAGTAGTTCATCCAAAAGAGCAACTTCACTGCTTCACAATCTACTCTTGGCACAGTACAAACGTCTCCACATCAGAAATCTTTCCTCTAACAACACGAAAATGATGAAAGCAGACATTCTAGTATTAAGACCTCCAGCTCCCGCAAAGCCTGTCCCATCCAAGGACCATCTGATACTGAAGATACTCCCAGTATTTGTCGTCTCCCTAACGTGGCTCCATCCACTTCTGTCACAGAGTTTCAATAGATTGAAAGCGCCTACTGGGATTAGAAAAAGATCATTTTGAGATTGTCAATTCATTTGTTCTTAGTTTGGGTTGGACAGCTCTATGTCTATGTGCTATCTATGTCTGAAAATTCAAACCAGCTACCTATGTCATGTGTGTATCTGTGATGCCGCCGCCCTTTCAATCAACTAATTAACACGCTCAACTAATGTCATACAAATTACATACTGGGGGCGCATAAGGCCGTACATTCGGCCACAAATCTACACCTATCGTCCGACCTACTTTAAGCGTCTACCCTACTAGTACTCACTATTCCACAGTATCATCATGACATCCATAATGCAAAGGTCTTCCCATCCGGTGCCCATGCTACACTGGTGATCACGTGCTCGTGTTGCTGGGAGTTAAATAGCAATCTGCCGTATGAATCCCACACCTTATACCTGCAATCCTCGCCTCCAGAGACGATGAGGCCACCACTCGATGCACTCCAGTCGCAACAGAGAACGATACCTTGTTTGGCGTATAATTTAGTAGCCCTAACAAGATAGAAGTCGAATTCAGCCCTGATAAGATACATAGGAGTCTAATTTAGCGTACTAAGTTGTAGAACCATCAAAACAAAATCGAAATCTTGGAGTGTTATTCGCCTTTTGGCTTTGAAGTGCAGATGTATAGCCAAACGGACCTAACAAGAAGTCCAATTTTTCCAATTAAGTACCGTCATGTGCTTTCCAGCTCGTTTGTTTTTGGCCTGCCTGCACTGATATACAGGTGAGACTCTTTTCGCAGCAGAAAACTAGAGATTCGGAATCCTGACTCCACGCGACCGCGTATATGGGATGCGCCTGTTGTGCTACACTCGATCTGAGCATCCCACTCTTCGACCAGACCTTGCAGAGACCATCCTCCCCTCCCGTTACTATCGCACTCCCCTCGTAGTTCCATTTTATCTGTCGTGCCGGTTGTGGGATGTTCGTATGATGGGGAGCAAGGGGTGAAGGATGAAGTTCGAATTCATGAATATATTGTTGCACGGGATAAGCGAGCCTAAGTTTGTAGAGGTAAAAACTAACCGGTTGTTCGAATTCATGAATATTTATAAAAATATGAGAAAGAAGTCAATTTTCTAGTACTTACGCTCTTGGTGTTGAGACCCTGTACTAGGCCCGTGTAAATACTTTCTTATCGATTCAGAAGGTAAGAAGACGAGTGGTCAGATGAAAAGTATCAAAATTACTAATCAGTACTGTTGTGATCCCTCCTCTATGTGCGTTAGGAATCCTCTTATCTTCGCGCCCTGCTTTTGTATACAGTGCAAAACTTCCGTCTGAGAAAGAGACGGCAACTAGACCGTCAGCGGATGCGGGTGTTAGAGGAGGAGTAAAGTCAGAGTGCTGGTCTACCGACAATAGGATAATAGTGAAAGAATAAGAAGCACTCTAGTAGACTTGCCAGTTAGACCTCCTCATGCAAACTAGAAAAGTGAGACGTGCCTTTCGTCTTATTCTGTGGTCTACCGATAATAGAAAGACTTATTCTCTTCTTAACGGTAAAATATCCAAAGCAGTGCAGTAGCTGGGGCAATCCACCTTTGTCACTGCTCTTTCTCCGTCGTGGTCCCATCTTTTCACTGTTTGGTCGTCTGCGCAATTGATTAGAGATGGATTGCGCTAATCGACTGCGCTAAGTGACCGATACATCATTTTCCACCATGATGTTGTCCTCTTTTGCCGTACTAAGTACTTAAGTGAGTCCGGGAAATACTTTAACAGGGACGCACCCACCAGCGATGAACTGGTGTAGCCGTAAAAATGCTAATCGAACTACAGGGAACACAGGGCTAACGGAACTACAGGGAACACAGGGCTAACGGAACTACAAGGAAGGGGAACACAGGGCTAACGGAACTACAGGGAACACAGGGCTAACGCAACTACAGGGAACACAGGGCTAACGGAACTACAGTGAACACAGGGCTAACGGAACTACAGGGAAGGGGAACACAGGGCTAACGGAACTACAGGGAAGGGGAACACAGGGCTAACGGAACTACAGGGAAGGGGAACACAGGGCTAACGGAACTACAGGGAAGGGGAACACAGGGCTAACGGAACTACAGGGAAGGGGAACACAGGGCTAACGGAACTACAGGGAAGGGGAACACAGGGCTAACGGAACTACAGGGAAGGGGAACACAGGGCTAACGGAACTACAGGGAAGGGGAACACAGGGCTAACGGAACTACAGGGAAGGGGAACACAGGGCTAACGGAACTACAGGGAAGGGGAACACAGGGCTAACGGAACTACAGGGAAGGGGAACACAGGGCTAACGGAACTACAGGGAAGGGGAACACAGGGCTAACGGAACTACAGGGAAGGGGAACACAGGGCTAACGGAACTACAGGGAAGGGGAACACAGGGCTAACGGAACTACAGGGAAGGGGAACACAGGGCTAACGGAACTACAGGGAAGGGGAACACAGGGCTAACGGAACTACAGGGAAGGGGAACACAGGGCTAACGGAACTACAGGGAAGGGGAGCACAGGGCTAACGGAACTACAGGGAAGGGGAGCACAGGGCTAACGGAACTACAGGGAAGGGGAACACAGGGCTAACGGAACTACAGGGAAGGGGAGCACAGGGCTAACGGAACTACAGGGAAGGGGAGCACAGGGCTAACGGAACTACAGGGAAGGGGAACACAGGGCTAACGGAACTACAGGGAAGGGGAGCACAGGGCTAACGGAACTACAGGGAAGGGGAACACAGGGCTAACGGAACTACAGGGAAGGGGAGCACAGGGCTAACGGAACTACAGGGAAGGGGAGCACAGGGCTAACGGAACTACAGGGAAGGGGAACACAGGGCTAACGGAACTACAGGGAAGGGGAACACAGGGCTAACGGAACTACAGGGAAGGGGAACACAGGGCTAACGGAACTTCAGGGAACACAGGGCTAACGGAACTACAGGGAACACAGGAACTATCTCTGGTCTTCAACAAGGCATGCTCAGCCTGGTACGCACCAGGCTGAACTGCACTAGGAGAAGAGTTGGAAGTAAGCGCTGACCTTCTAAGGTCAGCCGTAAGAACACAGGGATGAACTTCTATCTGGGAACACAGAGATGAAGATCTATCTCTAGCCGTAATGTAAAGAGCTCAAACTGCTTTTCTGTTTTAGCCCAAGCCAGGCCAGTTACTACTGCCGTGTGAGCATCCGGGGTCTCCTTGACTACTAGACGCATCTTTTCACCAATTTGTTGCAATCTATCACCAAGAATTTATTGCTGTTGGCGTCAGTACAGGTGTCGTCTCTTGTTCCCACAGGACAGCAATTTCGGCTCGTCTGATGGTTGTTCTTGCTGCTGTTACGACTGGTAGTTCTTCACGGCGAACTTCTAAGTTACTTATCTTGATCTTCCAGCATTCGTATTGTTTTACGTGAGTTTCTATGTCGTTACCGCAAGGACTCGATAGTTTAGCGAAACAGTCTGATTGTATTCGCGGATGCGCTTCGAGACCGTTCCTCCTATCTCCTTGATGAGCCTTGCGTCAACATGCGGAACTCAAAGGCTAGCACATTGATACCACAACTAAAGCGAGGCTCGATTCAAGCTGCGAACACAGCTGCCAACGCTCCACTTCATGTTATACCATAAATCGACGAAACAGGTACGATGTTTCGCTGTCATCGAACTCGATTCATCGGCAGGCGGATGAGCCGTGTGCATGATACTTCGGAGCAATTGTGAGTATTTCTATAATCAAAATCATTTGTAGTGGTAGAAAGTACTCACTCATACATGTTCAATTATCCTGTGAACATCCTAATTGAGCCATCTATCGGGCAAATAGCAGTGGCCGCCAGCACCACAAGCGCACCAACAGTAATGGCTTGCGCTGTAATCCTGCCCGCCACCGTTGCCTCCTTTCCTATACCACTTGACTTTTTTCCCTAAAAAACTCTTTACCACTCATGCCCTTTCTTTCTGCAGCTCTTCTATCTCTCAGCCCTCTAATTTTTACCTCTCAGTGCTTCCCTGAAAAAAAAGTGCAGCCTCACCAAGCTGAGCACGACATTGACTACTCTTTTTATTGCCTTTCTCAGCAAGCTGAGCATATTGATTTCAAGATGCACCACGAACTGAGAATTTCTACTTGTACTTGCACTGGCTTGCAACATGAATGTCTTTGCATCTTTGGGTTCAAGTAACTGATACTACTAGGAGCCAATACTTCATACTCCACCTTTGTATCTTACTTGCATTATAACAACAGACACCTTTGTAATCTTACTTGCATTATAACAAGAGACACCTTTGTATCTACTTACTTGCATTAAATATAACAACAGACTCCGTCTCATCTTCCCCAAATCCAAAATCCCCCCAAATCCAAAATCCCCATCGTCATGTCATGTGCACATCCCTTATAGTGCTGTCCTTGATAGGTAGCACCCGTAGAGACAAGTTCTGATAGAGAGCAAGGGGAGAGTTCTGACTCAGTAATGTGTGCTCTCCAAGATTAGCTTTGTGACTTTATGCTCCAATCCCAAAGCCGAAGTCGCTGTCTGTTGTGAGTTCTGATAAGCGGTAAATGCTTTGCGGTACTCGCGCAAAGCCTCGTAGCAGAGACCGAGTTGGTGATACCCGAGAACCAAGGTCACGTATAGCTTTTCGATTACTGGTTGCGATGGGAGTATGAACACTTGAGGTTGAGAGGGAGGACGAGGACGTAACACTATAAGGGGAAAGAGATGCTGCAAATTTATTCGGTGGTACATATACGCGGTACCAGTTGTACTAGAGAGACTTGAGAGTATGCAAATTATTCATACCACGAGGACGCAGTACCAGGGGTACTAGGGAGAGTAGAGAGATGCAAGTCATTTACAGGGTACTGTGAACTAGAAGTCTAGTGCATGTCCCTGTACGTCTACTCTAGGTACTTGTGGGACTAATTCTTCTGACTCTGGTACAACAATAAATGCAAATGCTTCATTCATCAGCCACCAGGTAGGTATGACTATGATGTCCTTTCTCAAAACCGAATCCGTAACCATTCCAGTGACCAAGTTCTGGACACATAGGGAAACGCTCTGCGCCCCATACTGCTTCGCCACTGCGTACTCAGCACGATTGTCATCATTGTCGACGTCAGCGTTCTCTTTGGCTACTTGAAAATGCGAAACGGAAAGGTTCAAAAAAATTGTGGCGAGTTGGAGGTTAGAAGGGAGAGGTACTCTAATGTTTCTTGTGGCTTGTGGGGAGAGACCTGTTGACTTTCTTGTCGCTTGTGAAGAGCTACAGGTGAGTTAATCAACGTGCCTGAACCAGATGGGAAATCATCAGCTGCATTGCCATGTATAATTAAGTAATCTTTAATATTTTAATTGTCACGACGGCCGTAATCAAATTAGCTGCCGCCGCTGACCCTCCAACCGCCTGTCCTCCCCCCTCAGCAACGTGCTGATCCTGATGGTCGCTGAGCCGTTTGAAGAGGCTACCTGCCAACTGCAGATTGTATATCGCATCTTCGGGTTCACTCACTTGTCGATAAATAGAGCTCGAAAGTAGAATTCATTTCTGTGGTCTACATTTCTCGCCTCATTTCTCAACAACAACATAGCATCCTAAGAAGGAAGAACCAAAGTAGAATGATCATTTTCATTTCTCAACATAGCATCCATCCTAAGAAGAAAAATGACCACACCGCAACTCCGGAATGAATTAGAATCACTTTGAGGAGCCTTAAGATAAGCGAGACCCAAATTCGACCACGTCTCCGCCAACAAGGCCAAGTCCTTCTCAACTATCCCCTTTTTTAAGGCCCGATGCAGCATCTGAAAGGCGGGGAGGACCTTTCCTGCTTTGAGGGAAGACAATGCTTCGCGATTCCAGTCCATGATGACGTTTTATACTTCTGGAAGAGGTGTGGCCTAGTAGTCCCTCTATGATACCTTCCTTTTTTCAGTGCCCGTCGGTCGTTGACCACCAGAGGTGTGGTCTATTACTCCCTCTATGATACCTTCCTTTTTTCAGTGCCCGTCGGTCGTTGACCAGAGGTGTGGCCTAGTACTCCCTCTATGATACCTTCCTTTTTTCAGTGCCCGTCGGTCGTTGGTCAACAAGTTCTATGGCTTCAATCGGACGTGAGATGAAATTGCGGTGGCCCTGTCTATTTCTAGAGGGATCCGTCAGTAATGCAGCTAATCGATTTTGTACGAATCTTCCATCATCACCTTTCTCCGTGCAAAAACAAAGAAAAAGAACACGATGGATAAAAGATATAGCAAGCACCTATCGCACTGATTTTATTTCGTCTGGCGTAACAGTGTAAAATTTTTCATCGGATGCTGACAAGAATTATCGGTCAATTTTGGAGAGCGTCATAGTTGCACTTGATGTAATAAAAAGAGACCATAAATAACGAAACATAGATATGAGTAGCACTACCTAGTGCTTACTCTATAAAACAAGACTCAACTCCCGTGAAATACCAATGAATAAACTACGCTTGGATACGAACGCGAAATCGTTTGTGTATATAAGAACTCAAAAATATCAAGCATTTGACATGGCTATCTATACGTTTACGTACTTATACATTTTACTTGCTTCTAACTAGTGATTAGCACTACCTTAGGACAATTTATTCAATGATATAACTGTTACTGTGTTTACTATCATTCCTGACTGTCTTCAAAATATGTGATGCTAGTTTGATAACTGAAAGTAAAACGTGGGATAAGTAAATGCGTTTTTTGTCTACAATCACAGAATAAAATTTTCATTGCATCCAATCTGCCGTATCCAGTGCCAAACTTTCGACAGAAACAACAACAGTATCTGTTCCACATGCCACCAATTCGCCATTATCTCTTCCACATTCCACCATATGGTGCACGTGAGTAGGCATTGAAGCCGTACTTCTTAGCGTCACCAGCTTCCCACACCATTCCCCTGGGTCGCTCGAAGACGCTGCGGGTTTCTTCCACCTTCGGGATCGCACGCTCGGCGCTGAATTTGAGGTGAATATCATCTAAAACTAGATCATGAATTTTTGAATAGAGGGAGTTAATTGACGCATTCGTCTTCAACGTGCATCCTCCGCTCCAACAAGAATAAGTAGACATTAAAGAAGCTTCCTAGGAAAGAGAGAGAGAAGTGCTTGGAACGATGATGGAATTCCACACCTACATTCCAACAAGGAAGTCCGACATACTAGAAGTACCCTTGCAAAACCACTCCTCTTTCTTGCTTGTAAGGCATGGCTCCATGCATTTGCAAAGACCTCGCGACTGGGCCCTCACGTTCCGCAGTAAAGCCTTCTACAGCACGACGCCCAGCTTCACGAATACGAGTCGTATCTTCTTTGCATTTGTCTAGACGTTCACGCACGTGCCCCATCTTCTGGTCGAGTTTGACGCCTCCTCCGAAACCTACGTCGAATGCTTTGTACCTGAAGAAGACGAAGTTTGTGAGACTTGAGGGAAAGTTATTCGTTACTAAGACCGAAAAGCTCACCCCTCTCATTCACAGAGTTTGGCTCATCGTGTCCAAAAAAAAAACCAGACATCAAGAAACGCCCACACTTGAGAAGTCTCCATCTTCTGGTCGAGTTTCACGAATCCTGCAAATCCAGAAATACTCATAAAGAGTGTAATAAAATCAAAATAAGTTACAGTAATATCTTCCAAATATTAGAAACAAACATAAGAAGTGCTTGTATGTGCTTTCCTGCACTATTTTCATAAAAACAAAAACCACATTTACAAAAAATACTTGTATTTGCTCTCCTGAACTGGGACCATGGCTAGTGTGGAGCCTCCGGTACCAGGATGTTGGCTCATCTTCTCGTAGCCGATTTTGCCGCCCCTAAAATAGGGATCCAAGACCACCGAAATATTGTTCGAAGCGAACATATGATTGATCCCGTGGAGACCATACATCTTGTCGTGTATGTGAGTGTTTCAAAAACTGGTGTCCGGATAAGTAGAAGAAGTTCTATGTTGGAGTGGAATCACACAGTGGGTATTCAGCACCTTGGAAATCAGATCAAAGATGGATAGAGAAGCGAACGTCTTGAAGATACCATGTATGAACCTCGAACTGATGCTTGTTACTACAAGTAGAACCCAAAAAATTGTACTTCTTCCAGGTTGTAACTACGATATTAGTTTCTGCGAGGGCAGGAAAATTTCCACAATATCATTAATTATAATGCCTGTGCAAGAATTGGGTTACGAAGGGTAGCGAATGAATATTAAGCAAACAAGATACAGATAGATCATTAATGGAGCTCGTCTCTTCATCTCTCAGTGGTCTCGACAGAGCCACATTAAATTGATGTAAATAGATACTATCTACTCTCTTCAAACGGAACAGAACAGCATCTTTCGTGATCATCTTTCACGGCTTCCAGACTCCACCTAGAGCAGCTTATCTCACATGGTCTACAGAAGATGCTCTCGAAAACAGAGGATAACAATTATGCATGGGACCCCGCTTTCTCTCTCTCTCCCTCAGATCTTGCTCTAACCGAGTCTACTCAGGGCCTCATTCGAAACGGATGTTGCAACACAATGAATGATGTGGACATGCGTGTCTTAGAGAGCATCAGAAAGCCGCGAACAGTCTTTCACATCGAAAGTGGTAAAACTGGTTTTCTTACTATTTTTCCTTCACCTTATAACTAGCATGATGACTTGACAGCATTAGGTTTTTGATGGTCAACATATTTTCGCAAACTAAGTTTGTTAGTAGGTTGTTGTTCTCTGCACTTCAATCGAGATTCGCTGCAAGTAAGGCAAAAACATCAACATGAAGCTCAGTGAAAACCATTATCATCGCTCTATCCATCGGCTACAATGAGTTCAAAATCAGAAAGAGCATCACTGAGAATCCTCTAAAAACCATGGTGAAAGAACAACTTCATCTCTACTTTGGGGCTTGCTATTGGGAGTCACATCTTACGACTTTCTTGACACGGTAGAATCCATCTTGGCGGTAAAGGTATCTGAAGACAAATAATAACCCAGAAATCAATACTCAACCAAGTAATAGTACTAACTTCACATTATTTAGTTCAACCCCTTAAACCCAATTGACCTACCACCTCCGACTAAGTGTTTTTTCAAGGCTTTTGAGTCTGCCCATTGGCTCTCCAGATAGGAGTCATCCTCATCGGCTTGCAGCCTCTTTGCCTCCTCCTGCTTCTTATAGTAGTAAGACAACATCGCCTTGTGCGTGTTCTCGTCAACACGCGGCTCTCGCACTGGTGCGCCGGCAGCCTTGGACTGCGGGATATGAAAGAGAGGAGGGGGAAGGGCAGGACGGTTCTTGGGACACGTCAGAGTATTTTCTGGATGGATAGAAGATACTCTCGAGTTTACTTCTGAGAAAAATAATTCAACTGAGGTTACGCTAATATCCTGCCCGTCAACAAAATCTAAAATCAAAAAAATAAAAAGACAGCATGACCTTCTCCCCGTAAAATTTGATGATCACTTTGCTCTTCTCGTTTTTTCCGAGATATTCGCTGACCAGCTTGCCTCTCTGCATTTCCTTGCCCGCAAACCACATTACACTGTTGTCTAGCTCTAGGACGTCTTGGAGATCGGAACTGCAGAAGTTGTGTGAGAAAACATCTTCTCTGAAAATGAGGAAAAATTTTCTACCGCTAACTATCCAATTCTTCCTCATCCTCCAGCTTCCTCATCCTCCACTTCTACACCGCACAAGCAAAATTGCAAATCTTTACATTCTTCTTTATCCTCCACTTCTACACAGCACAAGCAAAACAGCAAATCTTTACCTTCCATCCAATTCTTCTTTATCCTCCAACTCCAGTCGCACCGGATCGAAGTACGGCAGCTTGTGGAAAGCGGGGTAAGCGATCATCACGGCACCACGCATTTGGTCGATACATTCCTGGCACATCTCTTTGCTCAGGTTTTTCCTTCGTTTTAGAGCAGTATGATTAATATCAAACGACCGATGAGATGGTGTACGAAGCCTTCAAGTAGTAAGAGGGATGTTGTATGAAGCTGCCTTCAAGTTTTTGATTTAAAAGGTCGTGTCACCAGTATGAGTATCTTAAAAGCAAAGGGAATCGAAGAGAAATAGCCTGCTCTGGCTGTGAGCGCGCAAGTGAATGATGACGATGCTAGTCGATTCGACTTGGACCTACGACTTCCCTAAAGCTCCTCGCTGTTCTACGGATTTCTGTGATGTTGAAGCTGTGAAGATGTTGATCCGTTGTTGTCTCTACAGGTGAATAACCAAGATGAAATAACGGGTTTACTATGTTTATGAAACTAACGGGTTTACTATGTTTATGGAACTAACGGGTTTACTATGGTTATGAGCCTTAACTGTTGGACTAATTTCTCCGACACAGCGGCTTCACTTTCGTCGGCTGTACGGATAAGGACTTCAGCAACCTCACCAGGAGGCGGGCAACCGGTACGGTAACTGTCGTGAAGGTTGATGTTTAAAAAATTAGAAGGAATTATGAGGGTTCGACAGAGTGTGGTTGTTGGGAGTAGAGGTAGACGATTCATTTCATAGACGAGGCGAGTTGCTGAAAAAGCGAATTGCGAACTCTCTTCTCTGTCCCACGACCTGCATCAGTATGAGTAATTGACGGGTCCTCATTGCGATCAGTCCGAAATAGAATAAAAGTATAAAGTTGTAATCTGCACTGTGTCACTGATCCGGAACAAAAGGATGCACTACTGGAATATGCAAGGATGACTTATATCCGGATCGTCAATGCAAGCTACACCATGCTTATAACCGGATCGTCAATATGAGGTCAATGCACTACTGGAACAATGAGTAAATTCCACAAAAACTACAACCTGCTTAAGTACCCTTGAAATGTGAGTAAATTCCACAAAAATAAATTACAACATGCGCTTACCCAAACTACAACCTGCTTACCCTTGTTCATCCGGATTAGTCGGCTTTCCATATGCATTCACGTCCAGAGGGAAATTCACGTCATCACTCAAACCACGTGTTTCTTCCGGTCGTAGAGGTCCATGCTTGCCTAGTTCGCGCAGACATAAGGCCATTCGCAACACCTTTAATCTTAGGTCTTTTAGAGGAGCTGGGACCCAAAAAGTTCATCTTTCCCTTCAACATCTTGGAGCTGTTTTTCCTCTCGGAAAAACTGTTTTCCCCTTGGAAAGACTGTCTTGCACTTGGAAAGACTGTCTTGCACTTGGAAAAACTGTTTTCCCCTTGGAAAAACTGTCTTGCACTTGGAAAAACTGTTTTCCCCTTGGAAAAACTGTCTTGCACTTGGAAGAGAATACTGAGGTGGACCTAGGAATAACAAAGAACTTGATATCTTTTCAAACAAACAGAATCTTTCTGAGCCTAGAACTCAGAACTTGCTGCACAGAACTAGCTAGGAAGAGAATACTTCTAAACAAGGGTTAGGGTTTCCAAGTGCCCTTTATGTTCATGTTATCGCTGCTACATAGGGGCTTGATGCCTGTGCCAGCCTTCTGTAAGGAGGGACCTGCGTAAGGAAGTGCCCTAGCCTGCTCTCTAAGATGCATCTGAAGATGGACCACAATTACAATTACAATTAATCTCGCACAAAGTTCAGTGCAGACTGCCTTAAATAAGGGCGTGCATCTGAAGATGCATCTGAAGATAAGCCTTAAGTTGTGAAGTTCCACGGTTTTTTTCAAGACATCATCGACGGTTTCCGAGGTGAGCACCTCTTCGAGGAACTCATTCTTCTTCTCACCCTTCTTGACGTGGAGGATCACCATCTTTTTTACTTAGAAGTGCTCTCGTTGTATGTTGCGATGATCTTGAGTCGATTCTGGAGCAGTCGCAACTTCTAAGTACTCTTTAAAAATATTCCAACCAGTCTCTAAAATGGGCACAGAGAGAGATAATTCGTCATGTAGCATAACATGATCAAATTAAGGAAAAGCTTCAGCATCAGCTAGTTGTATTTTCTACACTGCGTCGTCTTTGCTCGTCGGTGTCTAACCAGTCCACCTTTCATTTTCACGGAAGTTCATTTTGGAATTCAAATTTTTGGAATATCTATATCACTCGCCTATTTTGTCGTCATGCTTCTTAGCTTCTCTCGTCGTGCGGTGCGGTTCTTGTCCTTGCCGCGAACGTCCTATACAACAGAGAACATGTTCACCAGGAAAAAAACCGGCACAGCCCCGCAAGGTTGCTTTTGCTTAGTTGAATCACATCAAGATCAACGTCTGTGAAACACGTCATCAATATTAACATGAATTTCGATGCAGTGCCGTCATGCTTCATCTGGCATCAATCTTCATATTATTGACGGTGGAAGGAAAAAGCAGACAAAGTCATCATGTCAAAAAGACTATCTTCTATGCAGGAATTGCGAACACGACTAAATGTAGTATGTGTAAGTTCGCTTTCGTCTATGCAATGTTCTTGTCTGTGCTATCAAAACATCGATCCTCAAGGCAACGCCCACGTGAGCATCGGTGCAATTGCTGAACTACCACCTCAAGGCAACGCCCACGTGAGTATCGGTGCAATCAGCACATTGACTAGTAGGAACTCGAAGCAGACGCGAACCCTGTTTATCGTCCCACGCTTCTCAAACTTGAGGCCCTGTGCGACAGGATCCTTCACTATGTAGAAAAACATAGGCTTTTCACCAGCGCGGAAGGTTAGAACATTGATGGGTAGTTTTTTGGGAAGCAAGAGTAGGTAGAGTAGAGTGGAGGAGGGAGGCGAAATAAGAAGAAGAGACAGAGGAACACCAACTACACTTGTTTCGGCGAACTGCTTCCCCATTTTAACTTATTGTCACCCTAACCATTGATTCTACTGGAGTAGAATCAATCTGAAGAGATCGAAGATGTAGTAAGCAACTAGTTAGTGGGTACTTACTCCTTTAGCGGAGTAGTGTTAGTGGGAACTCGACGATGTAAGTTAGTGGGTACTCTGCTGGTGCTCTTTCCCATTCCAAGTAACTAGTTAGTGGGTACTCAGCTCTTTGAAAATTCCATCTTGTCCATAAGATGTTATACTCCGACTCACTCTGCTCCACCGCAAGTTGGAAAAACGGCAATTGTTCCAGAAACATCACCCGAAGGCCTGAAACGCCTCCACCACTGTGGTCAAGGCACCCCTCAAACGTTGGAGAGCCTGATTCGCAGCAATCTACACCCACTGCCCAATAGTCCTGCTTCACGAGCGTCTGCCCTCGTAGGGAAATTGGAGCCACACAGTAAGTCTCCTCACTCTTGTAGGACATACCTGAATTAGAATTTAGTTGTTTTCTATTCTATTCTGTGCATCCTAAATAGGTTTGCTGCATTGTGTTGTTTTCTTTTTGAAAAAGTAAACTCTTGTTACTTCGGTTGAAAAGAAGATCTGCTTCGGTTGACAAGAAAGGATTAGTCACCAGTGGACTTCTCTCGTCCGAAAATAACCAAGGTGGAAGTAGGCGAGATGTCCGTCGATGTCCCTAATCTTCTGGAGAGGAGTTCCCAAGAAAAAAAACCATCAAGTGCATACGGATAATACCCATCCCCTGTTCCACTACGGTTCCTTCAGCAAAATACACTGTTCCTGTATCTTGTATGGACTCTGCTGGCGTAGTTGCGGGGTTGACGCCTGACCGTTCTCTCATGGCTCGCATGGCATAGACTGGAAGCATTTCGTGCTGAAATTAGCCGTATAATTTATAAGTAGTCATTCTTCATCACCCTGACAAGCATTGAACTTCCTTGAGTCTCTTTCCTTTCTTGCCTTAAGAGAAGGGTTCATCTCTATTTCGAGAAAGGTTCATCTCGTCAAAACTTCAGAATGCAGCGATGAATCCACTCAAAGACGATACAAGATGCTAAAGAAGAAAGTAGTAGTCCGTCGTAGAGTATCCTTAACTTCTGAAGAGTCAGGAGTAGCTAGTCGTGAAGATGCTAAAAAAGAAAGTAGTAGTCCGTCTTAACTGAAGATCACTTCTCCCTGGTAGAGTCCGAAGATCAAGGCAGCGACCAACAGGGCCGAAGTGTGGTACATGCGTCTCGCGATGAAGACGTAGTAGAGAGATGGCATGCCGAAGATGGCAGATTAGAAAGAGGAGAGTGAAGACGTCCTTATTAGCCTTCGTGTACCTTCTAGTTAGAAAGCACGAACTTCGATTTCTCAGGAAACAGGAATATCAATAGTTTAGCATCTCAACATGAGCGCAAAAGAGGACTTCCACAATTCACTTCTACGTGAGTGAATGAATGAATGAACGTGAAAAAAAGAAATTTTATCACCATAAAGTATCTCCGCAAACAGGACCATGTATATCGAACTGGGCTGTAGATATCGGCCAACAGAGCAGAGGAGGAAAATACACGTAAAAACGATCATTGGTGGCACCAGCACATTGAACAGGTAAAGCCAGAATGCAAGTTAGAGTGTGGACTGTGGAGGCTGAATCAGGTGATGGATCCTGCAATGTGATGATCTACACTTACTACATCACCCTAACTAAGTACTGGGAACCACAATGTGAAGATGTTCTTCACTTAGACTACTACATCACCGTAACTACTAGGTGCCGCTTGCGGTTCTCCCGGCTGTGGTCCTGCTTTCATCTGCGCCATCTCAGGGTCGTAGAAACCCGCCTCCCCAGGCTTTGGCGGTTGACCAGAGGCCTTCATTTTGAGTTTTGTTTGGTTTGGTCTTCCTCGTCTTACTTTAGGCAAAGAAGTCAATAATCATGGTGTGAATGCTGGTGGTCTGAGGAAGAAGCGTGAATACAAATCGAGTGGATTACTACTTCGTAGGGTAACGATGATGTGGTGCTGTGGTCGAGGAGGAGGAGATGGGAATGGTTACGGTGCTGCGGGAGGTATAGATTTTAGTATGCTCTTGTTTGGGTGGGAGGGGTCATTCCTTTTTTCCATTCTGCCTTTCTCTACTTATATTTCGTCCCCCCTTTGTTCATTCTGGACAAGCGCAAACACCAAATCCAAACACACATAGCGAGATACCCAGAAGCGGTGCATCTCGACCGCGAACCGCTCCGACTAAGCACGTAGAGGTTTCAAATCACATGCTTTCGACGAGTAACTTCGAACCAAAAAGAACATATCAACGAGGTTAAGGAGAAATGCCATCATCTTCTGCAGTGCTGGTTCAAGCACCCCTCAGAATAGACATAAGTTGTCACCAAGGTTCCACAAAGACGTACTTAAACAAGCCCAACTCAACATCAAGAACAATATGATAAGACCAAGAAGTGGGTAATTACTTAACCATGCCCCATAATGATTACAATTCCACAATGACTAAGAACCTCATGACTAAGAATGATTGATTGAAGTCTTCTATTCTATACTTACCAAAATTGAATTTTTCTTGTCCTAATTGAAGAAGATGATCATGAGCCAGCGCAGTTGTCTACGCAACACGATAACGCGCCTGACTCGAATCTTCCTGACTCGAATCTGCTATATCTTGTTCTTCTTCTTGTAGCAAAATAGTTCTAGTTCATCTACCAAAATGTTTTCTTCCCCCATTGGAAATATGTAAATGAACAAAGCTATTGTTCGCTTGCCGATACTCTCGTCACGTCCCTCTGGTGCTATATCCATGCATCCATCGCAAATCCACTAGATTTGTGTCCTGTTCTCAGCTCCAGTGGTAAAAGCGGAAAATTCATAAAGTCTACAGCCACTCTGCCAGTGCCGCTCTCGATCTGGATGCAGGTAAGGCAACCACCACCGGTGAGGAGGATTAGAAGATGATGATTTGAAAAGGAGCATAAGCTGCTCAAAAAACTGTCTACAACATGCGTAGAAAAGGAGCATATTAAGCTTAATTGTCTACAACATAGTCGGTACGCGATCCTACCTAGGTTGGCCATAAAAAAGTCGGTGGTCCAGCTACTGGCGACGCTCTTCCTCCTGCCTGATCCATGCCGAAGAACGCTTTCAACAAACCATCTAGAAATTTGCCATGCGTCACGAATAATTAGTGTCAGCTTTGATTCTTCATCTTCCTTGGTCCCCTCCTTTCGACGGACCGCTTTTTCTTTTAACTAGCAAGGAGATGGAACGGAATCGAGAAAAAAGCTGAGGACCTTAAAATAAGGAGTCGTTGAATTTCAGGGAATGCTGTATCAGAAAATCAGCCACATGCTGGCATCTGGCATGATACTCGGTGAGCGATTCCCGTCCACGTGGCCACCAACCGATGTCGCCGTCGCCTCCCCAAGCCGCTGGTCCGGAGGATCCTGAGTCCCCCTCTCCAACTAGAGTGCTCTCGTTGCCATCGCCCACTTTTAACGTAGGCCCTTCTACCCGCAACATGAGACTTTTCATTGGTCGCGCATCGGCTAGTGTTAAAGCTCAGCATTCATTGGTCGCTGACTCTGAACGGAAGCGACCCCCTTCAAAGCTCTCCCCTTTCCCTTCATCTATTTCCCCTGTTCTACTCTCAAGGGGAAGCCGCCTCTTCGAGCTCAGTGACTCCAATCTAAATGATGGCCACGATCTCAGTGACCAACCCCAATGACCATTGAAAGTTGAGCCTTAATAGTGTCTTCGTAGTTGTACTATCCTCGTTTGTATCCTCGTTCCCGTTGGAGATGTTGTAGAAGTTTGAAGAAGATGATGTTATAGAAGTAGAAGTGGGTGTCGTGGGAGACGAAGATAGTAGTAAACTCCTCACCTCTTTGAAGGACATACCGCGTCCACGTCCTACTTGAAGATTTTGTCCGGTTTCATCTACACCTGAATCTAGTACTTCAGCAGACACAATAGCAGTTCCGGTCGCCGTTGAGTGTCGCTCTCCTTGGAAATAACCTCCCTCCTCGCATAAGCTAGGTTCTATGGAGATCTTAACGTCTTTGTAGGACGTCGAGGAGGTCGCCGAGTCGTCAGGTTCAGATAGTAGTATTTTTTGAACGATGCTCGACGCTGTTCGGACGGTCCGGCACATAGGACTGATAAGAATTTGACGGAATTTTTTCGGAACTACACGACCAGATCCGGAAGTACAAGTAGACGATGGAGGTTCTTCTTCCCCTTGTAATTGCAACAGTCGTTCCGCTAGATGTTTTTGTTGTTGCTCTCCCCTTTCTGTCAAAGGAGGGTCCGGCTGCCGCGCCACGCCTGAGCCTCTCGCATTGTTGCCACTCTCACAATGGCGGAGGAAATACAAGCGAGACGTCGTAGGTGTGCATGTGGAAGTCATGGCTTTTTCATGTGGGCTGTCAGTGTTTGTGAGACTGTCACAAAGTTACTACCAATAAATCTCCCCTAATCATGGGTTTTTTTTGTGCTGTTTTGACCACTTTCTTGCTTACTTAATATCTTCGCACTACGACTGGCTGATGTAACTACTTATTCTCTTGCTGTTTCTGTTCTTGTACGTTTGACTGACATGATTGTTTCCCTATCAAAACTTAGATACGAGAGAAAAAAGATTGCAACATCATCGTCTTCATTCCGCGATGCTCGTTTTCTTCATCTTTCTCAAAAAAACACCGCGAGCATACTCCTTGAACAGCGTCCAACCTACTGCTGCCCACCTTAGAGGCGTCTGCCTCTGAACGTCTTGTAGCTAAGATTTGACGAATTGAATCTATTCGGCGAGCTGCCTAAGATTTCCCAGACGAGTTTGAAATGCTGCTTCCAGATGCATAGGCATACATGGCGATGGCTAACATAAAAACATGAATGACTGAATTTAACTATAGGTAATGTAAGTACGTAGAAACAAGACCGCGAACATCAGCGCCACAAAGAACTACATCAAGTGCTACAGCCAGGTCCCGTTGCATGATCTTCTACTTAGTCCCCACCTCGAAAACGGCACACTCCATCTCTATCGCAGGCGTCTTCACGAAAGCCATGCTTCTGCCACCATGCTTAGAGTCAGCCTTGATTCATCTGTCTTGGTCCTCTCATCTCGATAGCGCCTTTTCCCGTGTATTCTTCTATGGGAGCAAAATTTCATGGGCAAATAAGGGTACCGAAGAGAGGCTGATTACATATGGATTGAGCACTTGAGTGTACGTACCAGGAACAATCACTCTTTCTGTTCATAAGCTGAGAAAGATGAATAAAACTAAAAGCTGGCCATAGCATTCTTTGTCTCGTTGCTGCTCTTTCCGTTTGTCTTGAAAGGCTTTCGAGAAAACGTGTCTCGTCATCAATGACTGCGACCATCCGTCTGGCTGTGCAGTTGGGTCTGTGTTAGAAGAGAGCCAGAATTAATGACGAGTACTTACTTCTACACCTTCAGGCTTTTAATTATATTGGGATCTTCTCTTATTAATACGGAGGAAATCAGTCTAAGGAATGAGTACTTAGTTGTTCGAGGTATTTCTTCTAGCAAGTTGATGCTACCCCTTTTGGAAGTGCCAGGGGTACATCGTCTAGGTGCCACGAAGATGACATGAAAATCAAAAAAAGGGTTACGTAATGTACCCCTAGATGAAGTAGTCCAATATTATCCGTCATTATCAAGAAACAGCAAGTAGATGAAGAGCCAAATATCCATAATCTGCAAATCCACTTTCACCCCCAGCTCAATGTGGTTTAACAAAATCGCTAGGTCTGTGTAGGCTGTGAGAATCGTGAACAGCTGCTTGATCCAGTAAAGCGGCATAGGAGCGATCAGAAAGAAAATCACTGAAAACCCGAAGTACTTCAAGACTTAGATTAGAGCAGTACTTTTTCAAAAAAAATTTTAGATATTTCTTCTAGCAGTATAAATACATCGATCCGTTGTACTTCAACATACAACGTGGGATAGTGAAAAACTGGCCTTAAGTAAAGGGGAACGGTGAGCAGGAAGGCCATCAAAGTGTTCACCATCCAGATGCATTGGGGTTAGACGAGGGGCTATCAAGTGCAGTGTGGGGTACGGTATTCAGCATGATCATTCACTCATTCATTTACCTGTTCGTGAGATATTGTCTAGTGCGAGGGGACATGGGAATGACACGTGAAAAGTGTATGCAGTTGTCGATACAGGAAGAATGAAGCGGTACTAAAGAACTAGAAACTACGTACAACAATCCCTATGTCCTCTTGCGACAGCACATCCTCGATCACAAGTAGAACCTTCCTTTCACGTAATATTCATTGCGATGACACATCGCCTTCATAAAAAAGTAGCACAAGGAGCCTTAATGATTATTCAACGTCGGAGACCACACTCGGAAATATTTTTTTCCGGCACGCGTTGTCAAATACTCCTGTAAACAGAGCATGCAAAGCAGTAAAACAACTAGCGACAAGAGTATCGACGCTAGGAAAAAGACACGTATCTGGTCAAGTATATTCATCGTCATTTCGCTCACTCGAAAGGTTAGAGGAAGGTTCTGCTAATCTTCAAGAATAACCATGAAGAAGAGAACGCTCAATCTCGATGAGTCTACTTACTATGAGTTAGTTGTACCTAGTACTTCGTACAGTTGTATAAGTTAACATTAGGTACTTCTTAGTGTTTTAAGGAGTACTTATATAGTTGTAAAAAAGACACTACTTATACCAGAGCAATTGATAAGGTTTCACGGCTCGCATGGCATGGAGTGCATGGATCACATGGAGTAGCATGGAGCTAAAGGGGGAGCTTCTTGCGCCCCTTAAAGCTCTGCGCTCCATGCACTCCATGCTACTCCATGCACCATGCGTGCTATAAACTACTCTGTTATACATAGTTGTAAAAAAAGAGCAACATTTTCACGTACTGTTACTGAATCGTGTTAGTTGTAATAGTGCTACGTCGTGCAGGACATCACAGTCCAACTCCCATAAGAACAGTTCACTTTTCTGCTGCGGCGTCGGAGATCCTTCGAACAACTGTGAGGGCGATTCAGCGATTAAAGCAGCAAAGACGAAGGCTGCCAACACCGGGGTTAGACGTTTAAGGACAAATATATTTCTTGTGCAATAGCTAGAACGTGGAGGTGCGCCATGGATTCTTGTGAAGCGTCGTGGTTCATGTACCTAGTAACTAGGTGCCCGTTATTTCCCCCTCCAAGAAATAGCATCATGGTCGTGCCCTTCAGAAACGGTAAAGGACCCACCTCAGATGTTATTCGAATTTCTTGAACCCATAATAAATATTGCAACCTGACCCTGAGCGTGCATCTCTACCGAAGATGGATTTCTTGAAGCCTTAATGTTGCAACCTGAGCGTGCATTTCAACCTGCATAAGCAAGCCATTGCACGTCCCAGCATCCTCGTATGTCGTGTTACAACTCGTCAAAGGATAATAAGGCGCCAAATGCGGTTTCTTGTGATCCTCCGGATTGAAAGAAGTAGATGAACCTGTTTTTTTCTTACTTTGCTTGTTAGAGGTTGAGGTAGTCAATCATTATTCCCAGCAGTTGCGCTGAGTGAATTTCCATTCTGTGGCTAGTTGTACATTAAGTTGATGACGACCTTAGGACTAGAAAAGCAACCCACTCAGTATGATGAGATTTACCTAGGACGTTTCAAAGTAGTCAGTATTAAAATTATAGTCCACATCACAGTGTCAGAATTAATGCTTGACTTCCATCTAGCCTAGTCGAGCATGACTCATTGACCACTAGCCTTAATCTTTGCGGCTTCGTAATCAGGATCGTCACCGCCTTGCGTGAGGATTTTAGGATACCGAGATAAAAACAACCGCAAGACTTCATTTGCAGCGTCAACATCAAAAGGAGGAGCATCTTCCCCAGCAGCACCAGCGCCAGGTTGTAGTTGTAGACTAATATTAGAACTAAGAGAGATCCATTTTGACACGCATCCTAGAACATTTTTCCCCTTGGCGACAGTCTCCGGATGCCTCTGTGGATGGATTTCTTGTAGCCTTAATATTATCTTCGCTTTCACCGTCGACTTTGACGGTATAACGAGAAACCGCAGAACGATACATGATGATGATTTTCTGCACACTCTGAGTACCACAGAAACTCGTGATTCTGACAGTCAGACTTTTAAAGTGTTCTGCTAAGCTTCAAATTCTAAAACCAACCACGACACCAAGCTTCCGTGATATGCTCACTTCACTTCACTCTCCTGCTCTCATAAGTATGTAGGTAAGCGAGCCTTAGTCAGAAATCAGCAACGTGGCTGAAGAAGTGAACACCTGCTCGGCGCACGCATAGTAACCTCCCAAAGATTCATTACGTCGTAGAAAATCTTCCACTAATAAGTGGTAAGCGAGAGAATAGAGCCGGGAAATACGCGCAATGAATGAAGATGTAACACTAACATCTCTCTAAGATGGTGTTTATGTTGCCAGCTCTGCGATAGAAAGTAGTTCACGATGATCTCCGCACATCATCAATCCTCATGGTGCTCGTCTGCAATGTTGGACACTGTGCAGGCTCTAGCAAGCAAGAGAGTGGAAACCATCCCCTTTCTTCAGGTACATCGCCTTTTTTGATGCGTCCATAAGCCCAAGGCACGCCATGCTCGGCGTCCGCAGTGTGATAAACACTGTAATTATTGGTAGATGTTGATCCAGAGTCTGGCTCCGCACCTCGTGGTTCGCCATTCACGATGGCGAAAAAAATGTTTTTCCCCATCAACGCTCACCGTTTGGCCAACATCTTCAAGCTTCTCAAGGTAACCGAGTTCAGCTTGACTGTGAATGTAAGGCTGCTCCACTCGCACAGAGGTGCATGAATACTGAACATCATGGTCTTCTTTCTAATCTCCAGGGGGTTGCTCTACTGCTGGGTGGTCTTCTTTGATCTAATCTCCAGAGGGTTGCTCCACTGCTGGGAGGATTTTAGTGCAGTTGCAGGTGCCGACGATCTGCTCTCATTCTGCTCATCTTCGATCTTCACTATCTGTACAAGGTCAAGGTCCTTACAGAAGTCTAAGTAGCTGCAGGTGTTCTGGACTGCTGAAGAGACCTACTACTTCTAGTACGCTGAGTTGTACGCTGAGACACAGCTTGTAAAAAAAAAGGCGGTCGGAAAGGTGGAAGCCTGATGGCCGTCTCGTCGTCCTTCAGCACGGTTCTTCTCTCCTAATGCTAGTTTCCTTGAAGAACAGTCCTTTTCTCATTTCCTTCACGTCAGGGAGAATCAAGTTAGAGGCAACCTCTGCCTAAAATCTCCTTCTTCTTAGAGCCTGGCCTTGACTGCATTCGGAACGGCTTCAGCGTCAGATGGAGACAGGAACGGCCTAAGGTCAGCTGCATTCGGAACGGCTTCAGCGTCGGATGGAGACAGGAACGGCCTAAGGTCAGCTGCATTCGGAACGGCTTCAGCGTCAGATGGAGACAGGAACGGCCTAGTTAAGCCTTGGACGCACATGGAACTCGAAGTAAGTGAGTCTTTCGGAAATGAGCCTTTTCCACACGTCCAGTGCGTTCCACACAGTCCTCCTTGGAGAAGGGAGCCTGATCATCTTCACAGCAGATCCTTCACAGCACCAGAGCCTACATTATAGCAGAGATCCTGGTGTTTGCAAGTAGACGCTGCATTGCAGATCCTGGCGTCTCTTGCAAGTAGATCCTGGTATCTCATCAGGTAGATCTCCCTTCAAGGTCCTACTCTAGTAGCTAGCCTTCTACTTCAGCAAAAGTAGCCTTTTGGATGAGCCTTGACCACCCGAGTGTGAGATCTGTGACTTGCCCACTATGTATCCTGTATGTATGTATCCCTGATGGTGCTGTTGCTCCTAGCACCCGCAGAGAGAAGTTCTGGTAGTGAACATGACCGCAATCAAGACTCCTATCAGAGACCACTTCTTTTTCTTTATGAACGGTAATCTCACAGCAGCTGTGAAAATCCAATTCAATCAGCAGAGTGATACAGCTTTTAGATGCACAATAAGATAATAACACTATCTTTCTTGCGCACGAGAGTATGAGACTAACACTGATCAGACCGTGGTCCACCTTTAGCAATGAACAAACCTCTTCGTAAGAAAAAGAAATGATATTTATCAAGTTGTTCCCCAAGAACTGTCCTACGAATGCTTCGATCTTTTGACAGGTCAGAACAGAGGTCAGAAGCGAGGTAGGAGAAAGAAAGTTGTAGAAAAAACCAGCCACATCATCATTATCCACTTGCCTCAACGTATCTCTTATTGCTTATACCGTATGAATGAATGAATGAATTCGCCTAGCTTGAGGTGATGCACTGTTTATCACTGATGTGATTATTAATTCTCTTCTAAGCGCCGCATTCTTTCTTTGCCATACGTAGTGCGGAAAAAAGCACGTCTTGTTTGTCAGGACTACGAACAGCGAGACGGATGAAAGTTGGTTTGTCGTAGCCCATAGCGCCATCTCTTAACGCCAGTCAATCACTATCCGTGGGGGAGTGGATTCCCTTCCCTCCCGTAGAAGCATTCCCTTTGATAAGTGAACAGGCCAACGCCTAAGCCACTGAACCAACTGCTCCTCAGTCTCAGAAGTTACAAGCACCCTTCCCCTCAGCTACAACCACCCTTGACAACATAAGTATGTACTTTTAAGATGAAGACCAACTACCCCACTCAGCAGAATCCACATGAAAAGATAGTGGTTGCAGGGCCTTAAATTTCGGATCGGAACGCCGTGAGCTTTAGCATACTTCACGCAGGCAGCTGCAACCTTGGCATCTTTCGTATCGATCCAAAGCCAAGAAAGCCATTCCTCTCCATAAAAACGCCACGATGGAAACACTTCAACGAATTAGAGGGTGAACTAAATGGGGCTTTTCCACTGTAACAACAGCCATAGAATCAATAAGAGAGTCTACTAGCAGATGTTATCTATTCTCGGTATTCTCAAGTGAGCTATGATGTATATTCGTAAGAAAGCTCCATCGTTCTGAAGTAATAGTAAGCTATTTTCTCAAGCAAGTTCGAATGTTCTTAAGAAAGGACTTCCTTCGTGCGGGCTCGCCAGACTAGATTCAGAGTCCATGTTTGCTGGAGATATTCCTTATCAGCAACTGCAGCGGATAGAAACGCTAAGGCGCAGTGATTTAGAACTAGCTTTCCGTATAGTCGCTAGGAAACCGTATTGAACAAACTATCAGTCAATAGTCTTCACTACACGAGAAGGACTGCGTTCTGTTCATTAGTGTTGAGATTCTGTTGATTAGCGTTGAGATTCTGTTGATTCGTGTTGAGATTCTGTTGATTAGTATTGATTCGTAACTTAACTGTACGTAGAATACACAACTTCTCAATAGGTCACCTAACTCAGAAGGTTACCGTCGTACCTTCCTTCGGTTTAGCAACACGAAACTGTTGGAGTGCTTAGCTAGTCACAGTCTTCGTAACAGGTTAAGACTCCATGGCACTTGGTGTTTCTTCAGCTTCATCGAGTGGGCGCTCGTAGGACAGAGGATGCTCCCAAGACGAATACCTGGACACGACCATATTTTCGTCCAACTGTGTATAACGAAAATGGAACACTTGAACGAGTCGTACATGTGCCGGACCCAAGCCTCTTGCGACACTAAGGAGTCCTCCCGCCAACAACTGCCGCGCCATAACTGCATCGATTCGTCCACCAAAACGCAGCAACTCTAGACTTAGAAGCAACAAGAACAGCGAAGGTGGGTCTTTGGCACTACAGACTTAGGGGTAGGCTCAGACTTAGAGGTACGGTGTTGGTGTTCGTTTATCCCGCTTGTTATGGTTGTCCCCCTTAGGAGAGCCACAACAAACGGTAAAAAAAGCACCTTTAACCTACCCTTAAACAGACGTTCAGAAGCCAATTATAGGAAAAGGAAGTAAGTAAGCGAGAACGATGTAAAACTCACGTTTGAGTCATCTTTATTATTGATTCAGAGCAGATTTCGCCTCGGTAGTTCTTGTTGTAAGAACTTCATTCAACAACATCTCCATGATTAACAGCCATCAACTGATCCTTAAAAATCATCGTGGTGTTGTTCTGAAATTTCACTGGCGTCTTCCAGTGTCCTATCCAGGGACGGCAAATTCGCTTCCACACTCCGGTAAATGTATGCTTTCAATTCCTCAATGCCCATATAGGCGCCAGTGGGGTTACAAGGGTTGATCACGGCAAGCATTAGAGTTTGATGTTGAGAGACTATGACTATGACAAGTAACAGGGTTCAAACGTTCAAGGGCCTCAATCAAACCTAGACGCTACGTGCGTCGGAGTCATGAGATGTGAAGTGTAGGTCTACTCGGCGGCGTAGCCTATTGCGAAGCATTCAAGTTTGTTCATGTGATAGCAAGATGGATAAAACACCTGCTGTTTCACATCATCCATAGTAATTGCCTCGCCTCTAAAGATACCTAGATTAGGGGTGGAAGCCTTAAAAGCATGCGCCAACCGGGATTCGCCATTTCCTTGGAATTCTCACGAGATAGGCTGTTCTGCGAAAAGTTAGAGAGGACAAGGATAAGAACATACGAACATAAGGTGAAGAAAAACATTGACAGAAAATGACGACAAGGACGACCTATCAGTTGATGATGAGTTTTTTATATTGCTCTCAAGCGGAGGATCGGCGAGGACTTATGCATAAATTCTTCTTGCTTGTATTCGATAAACTGAAATAAGCGAGTAATTACTTAAAATAAGCGAGATACTGAACAAGGAAGAGTAGCCCTGTCAAAGATGCCTCCCTTATTTCAGTCAGTAACTCGGTTATTTTCAGTTTTCGAGTAGTTGTTACCTCCTCTATCATAAATATAAGTGATGAAGGCGGAAGCAAATTTGCATCTCGCTTCTCGTGAGACGGGGACCAAGCAGCCAATTGCAAGCATCCCACTTTCTCCCGACCATCTGCGACTGCCGCTCGCTCATACTCCTTGTACTGGACGTTCGACCCTACAGCGAAGGGACCACGAGGTGCGGAAATGCGTATTTTAGACAGAAATGCGTCCTTTAGACAGCTACTTCATCTCAGTCTTCGTAATCTGTTAATACAACCCTACTACAACAGACGATAGTAATAGCATGCTCAGCTATCTCTAGTACAACATCTCAAGCAAAGTAGTGAACGATGATAATACTGATTCAACCTTTATTGAATTTGCGAACAAGGGTGTTGTACTTTCACAAACAGCGGATCGCGCTGATTTATTTCCATCTTCACTCACGAGGATACTTATTTCACACTGCTAACTTCTACCCAACATAAGTGTGACCAAATCGATGAGTTCACTTGCGCCGTTTCCCAAAATCAATCTGGAGTGAATATTTTCTCGAGAAACAGCGGAAGAAGATTAGAAGGAGTTACTCAACTATCCATGACTCCCAAGAAAGAATGGAGATCAAACAGATCACTCAACAAGATTTGACTCTTGAGCAGTGTGATACCAACTACCTACTGGAAAAATAATTATAACAGTTTTTGTAACCCTCTCCAATATAATGTTCGTTACCTGTTGTGCCAATTCTTAGTCACCGGCAAAAATGTTTGTAATATAAAAAGCAAGAAAACCGAAACGCCTTAAGATGCAAGAAAACCGGCAAGATCAGTGATGGCTGGTTCAAAGTTGGCCGCTGGGTAGTGATCGATGTGCTGCAAACTGGCGGCTGCTGTAGTTACTGCTTTCCAAGGAGGACCCATGAAATTCGTTGTCACACTAAAATCCTCCACAAATTTTTCGCCCAAAAATTAGAGAAAGTTAGATCAAGTCCTCAGACGTGGTGCTCATCATGGTGGTCTACTTCACGTTCATTCCAAGAAGAAGAATGTACATGAAAGGTGAAGCACCTCCAAACATTTTTCCTCTGAATTGAAAACCTTAATCTCAATCTCATCAATCTTAATCGACTGAATATATCTTTAGCAGAAATATACCATCAAATGAATGATCAGTGCAGCATAAAAACTACTCCATTCTTGACCACCATGCGGTTGTTGGGCATTCAAGTCCCAGTTGGTGGCGTCCCAAGCATCCCTGCTTGGATTCTCATTGTCCTTGACATCACTCTCGACCTTGCCCATTCCGCCTTCTAGCCCAATATTGGAACAGCAGGTGCCCTTCTCCGTGTTTTCTGACATGTTTTTTTCCTTCTGCAAAGTATAAGTTCTACTAGTTTTTTATGTTTTGAGTTAGTGTCTAGTGATCATCATAATGGTCTCATAACTGCTATTCATTCTACGTGGTTTGATGATCATCTTGATAACTACTGGGTACCCTAGTACTACTACTTGATCGATTGCTGACTGCACAAGACTTCGCGCTCTCTCGGAGGTCTCTTTTCTGACAACAGAATGCTCTTCACTCTCCACTCTCAACACTCTATCTGAGCTTATTCTTCTCTCCGAATCGGAACACGACACTGACGCTAGGCTTCCTGCGTATCAATTTCCTCAAGAGGGCATCGTCTTCGTGGTTATGGATGGTTCACATTACTCGTTTTTTCATTTCATTCTATTGCGTCCCCAGTGACCATATTAGTGCAGTCAACGGCTACAACATTGTGAATATTTGATTATTCATCTTCCTCATACTATTCTTGACTCATGTTCATGTATAAGATCAAGATATGTCATTTCTTCATCTTCTCTAGGAAGTCGCAGAATAGGAGCCGATTTCTTCTCTAGCTACTACTCTGCCACCTCATTTCATCCTTCCCATCTTCTTTCCAGCCTTTTTGCCTCCTTTGCCCTTCTTCCCTTGTCCCTTTGGTTGGGCACCAGGAGCAGCAGCTTGTAGAAAATTGCTAGGGTAGTTCTCACTGTCTGCCAAAGTTGCCTCCACATAAGCTGCGTCACCTTGTGCTTTGAATCTGTCTTCTTGCGCATTGATCCTCAAGTGTAGCTCATCGTCCGGTCGCTTCAATCCATCACGCATAGCCTTTTGGGTGAGCGTTAGAGAAGGTCACCTATGTTGGTGGAAAGGTAGAGAAGATCACCTCTCTAGGGTCGTGCTTCTTGAGTGCAAAGGCGCGGCCTTAGTTACGGTCTGCCTGGTGACAAAAATATCCTAAAGTCTTGTAAAAGTGACTGCTCAGTAGTAGATCTTCGCTAAAAGCATCCAGCGGTCATCTCTTTAGCTAGGTGCACCCTTATATATATATTTAGGAGTACAACAAAACTCAAAATGATAATTCTACTCAACATCAACATCATGTTGTTCCTTCTCTTGCTTCCTCCTGTTTTTAAATTCTCATAAAATGATATCAAGATCCGCTTGTCTGTCGACTCCCCAGACGTGGTTCTCTTCCCACTGCTGCAGCTCAGCCTCCCTCTGGTTGTAGTAGCCGTAGTCTTGCGGTCTTACTTGTGCTGCAGCATCAGGATTGTCATAGGCGTCTATGGCGTAGATATATCCTGGATCATCCGTTTTTTGCTCGCTCAGCCACCAAGGATTAGAGCTCAAAAGATTTCATTTCTCTTTCTGCTCTTCATTTCTTCAGAACCCCAAGAGGGAATCTGCGACGAGAAATGAGTCGTGGATGAAATGAAGTCTAAAGTAGTATTGACGAGCCTTAAAAGGAAGGACGCCCGCATACTCGGCATTAGCGGCAGCTTGGTATCGTGCGAGAAACCTGTACAGCTTTATCAGATTCCACGACTGATGCAGCAATATTGCCGTTGCCACCGATCCTGCTAGGAAAGCTATCACGAAAAAGACTGTAGCCAAGTCTTTCTGCGTTTCTCGGTCGTCTAGGTTTGCAAATGTATCCGTACTGGCCATCGGTGTGTAACTCACAAAGTCGCAAGGCTGATGGGATGTATCCTCTTGTTAGAGGTTCCGACATTTTTGCATTCTTCAGAACAACATGATCCTTGACTTCTACTTTCGTGCAGATGTACGTAGTAGTACTACAAGTGTTGTACCCAATTCTCGCGGGGCATGTTAAGTAGAGTCAGGGATGTTTTTAGTGCTGAAGGAGATGTAATGCGGGAACCCTTAATCTAGAGTCCGAAAACAATGACCTCTACTCACCTCAGTAAGTCCCCCATCGCTATCGAACTGTGCTTGCGTCACGTACTTAATGGAAGCGTCTAGCAGGAGCCCAGCTCTGGCTTTGATATTTTTCTGGTATGAAGGAAGACTCAGCTCATGATGGCGCTTATTATCGATCGACGTAACCGCACTTCGAAGACACACTGCCCTATCTTTCGACTGTTGGTAGCAACTAACTTCTTAAAAAGGGTTCTTGAGGAAACATTTCATTTTTCGATAGCAATGCTAGTATTGCTGGGGGGGGAGTAGAAGAAACTTGATGGCGTGACTCCATTCGGCAATCTGCATATCAAGATTTCCCTGACGACTAACTACTCCTTCTACCCGCTTTTAGTATACATGAAATGTTTCAAGCCGTAAACCTCTGTCCGTTCTTGCGCACAGCACTTTCGAGTGTAGTGGCAATTATTTGGATCGCCACCATTCGTTATCACTCCGTCGTCATCGAATTCAGGTGGTTTTCCTCTCTGGTCCTTGTCGTAGGTGAACGGCGTGCACTCGCTTAGTGAGTCGGATATTAGAGCTCAACAACACCTACTACTTGGAAATGAATAGAATTGGATCATCCTACTTGGATTTGATGGCCTTAAGGATACCCAAGCGGACACGAAGCTTTTGTTATCATATCCGTCTCCCGCAGCTACGAATACTATGATGGATATCGGCAACCCTGCGCACAGCATGGCTAACAGCGATAAAACGGAAATCATCATCACCACGTAAGCTTTGGTTTTGATCAATTCTAATGAGCCCACTTTTTCACGCACAGTTAAGACGCAGTAACTGCTTAAGCAAATGAGCGGAGTAAAGCAACAGCAGCCGAGTTAGGGGTTGAAAGTTGGCATCTCTAGCTCGCATATCTGTGGCTTTCCTACTTGAAGAAGACATAGAGACGCGCATAGAGATGGCAACTCCCAAGCCTTAACCGAAAGCCATTACCCAGGACAGGCAATAGAGATTTACGCGCGCTACTCTATGCGTCGATCGCAGATCCTTGTACACACTCGGTGGCAGCAGCGATGACGTCCCATAGCCATATGCGTGGTTTCCTCTGCTCCCTTGTTTTTTGAACAAGCGCTTTTTGAACCTCTGCATCATGGTGCGGACTTGATTCCCGAAACCAGCACGCACTTGCTGATTGTGCAGACTTCGTTGGAAAACCGGTCTTCGGCCATACTCACCACGCACCGCATCCTTGTACTCCAGCCTGTCCATCACCCTCTTTTGGGTAGCATTCTGCTTGATCACCCTGCGAGCGCTCCTCTCAGAAGCCAACATTTTGCAGCTTATAGTAGTGGATGAAATGCAAATGAGTAGAGAAGGAGGACGTCACTATGATTGCTGCTTGATGCTTTAAATTTAAGCATCAGTTAATAGGAAGCCATTTTTAGGACAACTGCAAAGCAACACACAGAGTCGAGATGGTAACAGCCATAATAATGATTGTGTATGTACCAATGTTGGCCATTCCTAGGGGAGTCTTGCTATGCTAACTAAGCAACATGAAATGGATAACCTGTGGTCATACGATGAATGGAGGCTTGAATCAAGATGATGCAACATTTCTAGTTACTTAGTAGCAAGAATAAAAACACAAGAGAGTTGTTTTGACTAAGCAACGACATCGAAAGGGCAATGGCGTGAGGGAAATAAAAGGGAACATGTGAGAAAGATGACTATGGGCTGTGTTTTTTGATGTGAATGATATCAGTAAATGATAGTGCTTAGGGCTTCTAGGGTGCTATCTAGATGATTTTTATTTCGTCCATCATGGGTGATCTAATTACATCTCAAACTCACCACTCAAAAAGATTCACTACAGAGCTGCTCTCAAGGTTGACAGAGAGACTTTTTTAGTGCTCTCAAGATTGACACGGCAGATTAGTTTTGTTCGTGCGCACACGCAGACTGAACAGAAATAACTGTACTCGCTTTCACGGATTGAAACAGATGTTGACCACGAATTATCGCACAGATCTTGTTGATAAATCCTAGGAAAGCCTCTGTGGTTTAGACTGAAGATCCTGTACGCTGAACACTGGTTTTCGGTTTCTGACAAGCGTGGCCCTGTTTATTGCGGCAGCGTGGCTTCTTCGTACAACATATGGAAAATCTTGCTTGCTCAACTACATCAAGATCTCTCGGCTGTGTTTCTTTACATCAATCACTTGGACCGGAAATCAAGGCGTACTAAGCTAGTTATACAGGGAATTTTCTCTGTTCTTGTAAATACATCTTCTCTTCAACAAAGGCGAGCACGAGCAACGTAATAAGTCACAAGTACGCGAACTCGCAAGAGCAACCATCGTAATGAGTCACAGGTACTTAGCTTAGTTAGCCTGAGAAATCTTCGATTTTCAAGCCTCCGCGAATCTTTGGGTTGCTGCAAAAATGCTGATACAACTAGTTCCAAACTGCTACTAACAAAGCTCAGCAGTCAGTGGCCACTGGCTCTGAACGGAAGGGACCCCCTTCAAAGCTCTCCCCTTTTCCCTCAGTTTTCCCCTGTTCTCTCAAGGGGTCGCCTCTTCGATCTCAGTGACCAGCCCCAATGTGACCATTGAAAGTTGAGCCTTAATACTAGTTTCAAAAGCTAGTTACAAAACATGTAACCCTAAGACAACTCCTGTGCAAGAACCTTCTGGTACTCCAAGGTCCAGAAAGCTGCTACTTTATGCCTGCACATGGGACACCTGTAACTACGAAATTGCCGCTGGCTTCCTAATTTCGTAGCACATTCTGGACACAGGCACATGTGTCGACACGGAAGCACCACCACCGAACGCACGTTTTCGTAGCAGCATATGCAGCGTTTGCATTAGAAACTACTGAGTATATAATAATATCCGAGACCGGACTGGATCTCATCTCACTCGCCAAAGGCCAAACTTTTCAAAAAACCCAAAACTTTTGGCCAAAGCCCAAACTTTTTGCCAAAGCCCAAACTTTTTGCCAAAGCCCAAACTTTTGCAAAGCCTCAAACTTTTGCAAAGCCTCAAACTTTTGCAAAAACTCCAAACTTTTTGCCAAAGCCCAAACTTTTCCAAAACCCCAAACTTTTTGCCAAAGCCTAAACTTTTTCAAAACCCCAAACTTTTTCCAAAAGCCCAAACTTTTCCCAAAGGCCGAAACTTTTTCCAAAGGCTCAAACGCTTCCCAAAGCCCAAACTTTTCGCCAAACCCCAAACTTTTTCCAAGTCCCGAAACCTTTCCAAAGTCCCACACTTTGTTTGCCCAAAAGCTCAAAACTTTTCCAAGTCTTAAACATTACCCAAGCCCACAGCCACAGCCCACGGCCCACGGCCCACGGCCCACGGCCCACGGCCCACGGCCCACGGCCCACGGCCCAC